TGGACGGATTTTTACCCCCCCCCCCTTTCGTCACACGGCGTCACAAAAAGTCAGACCCCCCCTCAAATATGACGTCACAAAGCTCTGCCCCCCCCCAAAATAAAACATGCTTCAAATCGCTTTAAACTATTGTCATTGTAGTGCGTATTTAATGTGGCGCTGTACTCTGATGTTGTATGAGGAAACATTTATTAAAAAAGTATATTTAGTTAAGTAGAACGTGTTGTCTATATTTAATGAAAGTTGCACATTTTGATGTGACGTCACATTTTTCAAACCCCCCCGTCCCTCCCCCTCGTCACACATCGTCACAAATGTCTGACCCCCTCCCCCCCCCCCTAGGTGCGTGACGTCATTTATGGACGACGCCTATTGCCAGAGAACGCCAAAAGGCAATGCACTATCAGGGCATTTATAGCTCGGGGTGAGCAGCTACAACATGGGACTTTTCGTTTGTCAGTATCAAAGTATGAAAAAAAATCTTATTTTCTTTTTTCAAAGTATGAAAAAAAATCTTATTTTCTTTTTTTCATACTTTGATACTGGCAAACAGAAGAAAAAAAAACCCCGCCAAAGGTTGAGCAGCACCGATATTGCTCTTTGCACGGCTGAATAACTCGAAGAGCCCCACTCGTTTCCAAGTGCGCATCGCGCAGCTCACCGCGATTGACCCCGTACTCAAATTTGAATCGGTGGAAGTCGATGCCACCTTCAGAGTGAAAGATCTCGTCTGGACCTCGTGGATTGACTGCATTGGTGGCACAACATTGGTACTGGTAGGAACCTCCTGGTTACACCAGCCCACAGGGGATTGCTGTGTCCGTCCGTCCGTCGTGTAGGGAGGGGCTGGTGGGGAGGGAGGGGCTGGGTGGGGAGGGGAGGGTGGGGAGGGGAGGGTGGGGAGGGTGGGGAGGAAGGGGAGGGTGGGGAGGGGCTGGGTGGGGAGGGGAGGGTGGGGATGGAGGGGAGGGTGGGGAGGGTGGGGAGGGTAGGGAGGGGAGGGTGGGGAGGGGCTGGGTGGGAAGGGAGGGGCTGGGTGGGGAGGGTGGGGCTGGGGTGGGGGGAGGGGTGGGGCTGGGTGGGGAGTGGCTGGTCACCCCGTGGTGCCCTTATAAAACTCAACGTTTAACCTACTCACGCCGGCTTGTGCCCGCCCTCACAGTCGGTCATATTTGCGGAATACACCACGCCGCCGTTGACCCTGGCCATTGACCGAGCAACCCAACGTTCCTACCAGCTCCCTCCGCAGGAATGTGTTTGTCTTCGACCGGCGGGCGGGGTGTCATTTGTGCGTTGCGTCGCCCCCTAGTGGATACCTGCAAGGCAGAAAACTTTTCACATTCAACGTAAGAACCCCCCCCCCCCTCCCCAAGGAGTTCGTTGTTTGATCCATACTTCACCACACTGGTCAGTGCGGGGATTCTGTGAAGGCAGCAAGCACATTCTGTCTTGCTCGCTTTGCTCCAGAGGGGGAGTGTTGCTAACCACTGCGCCACCGCTCATTTTTTTTTTATCACTTGATGTGTTTAAGCTGTCGGCCTTCGTCCGGCAAATCCACTGCTGGATGAATGCCTTCCCCTGCAAATCATTTCAGTCACGGGAGTTGTGAGCAGGGCCGGATTAAGATGTTGTAGGCCTCTGTGCATGTACTGTGAGCCCCTCCCCCCCTCCCAGTAATATTTTCAAAAGGAAAACGAAGTTAAAGAAAGATAAAATTGGTATTTTTACACGGCTAACAAGAAATACTATTCGGCATTCACGAATGAAAAAACTTTCACTTCATTCTAGATTTGAAGCTTTCGTGACTGCAAGGATCCACACTCTAAGGTTTTTTCGGTAAAGTCACGTCGGTGAAAAAAGAAAATAGACATATAGATATAATAATAGAAATAAAATATTGTATTTCTATTATTATTTCTATTTATAGAAATAAAATATTTTATTCATATTGTATTTCTATTTATAGAAATAAAATATTTATTTCTATTATTTCTATTTATAGAAATTAAATATTTTATTTCTATTATTAGAAATTAAATATTTTATTTCTATTATTAGAAATTTAATATTTTATTTCTATTATTATTTCTATTTATAGAAATAAAATATTTTATTTCTATTATTAGAAATAAAATATTGTATTTCTATTATTATTGCTATTAATAAAAATATAATATTTTATTTCTATTATTATTTCTATTTTTTTAAATCCTTTATATTAAGTTTGCTTGCTTGCTTGCGTGCTTGCTTGCTTGCTTACGACCGTGCAAATCTTTCGGTCGTTTTTTAACCCACTTCCCGTGATCCAATCGAGCTGACATTTTGCACACATACTCGTTGTGCGAGACAATTAATGTTCGTGAAAATTTGTTTCCAAAATTTTACACTGTTTAGGGGAAAACAAATTAAATATTTAATTACCAATTGTTTAATACTGCAGACAATCATCTGACCCATAGGTGGCAGCCATCTCAAGCCAGAGGACGAGAGGACTCTAGCCGCCACGCATATAAAGGATTTAGAGTGAAAAACTTTGTTTTTACGGGTTATACTTGTTTTCACTTCATCTCTGGAGGCCGCTCCATCTGACGACGGAGGCACCTCTTGGGCTGTAGCCCATAAAGCCCCCCCCTCCCCCCCTACACCTTGATCCGGCCCTGGTTGTGAGACCATCCCTCGCCACGCTAATCAATGAGGTTGTTGGGGGGCCGTCCATAAATGACGTCACGCACCTAGGGGGGGAGGTCAGACATTTGTGAGGGGGGGGGGGGTGGGTGAGAAATGTGACGTCACGTAAAATGAGCAACTTTAATTAAACATAGACAACACGTTCCACTTAATTAAATAGACTTTTAAATGAATGTTTTTTCCTACAACATCAGAGTGCAGCGCCACATTAAATACGCACTACAATGACAATAGTTTAAAGCAATTTGAAGCATGTTTTATTTTTGGGGGTGGGGGGAGGGGGGCAGAGCTTTGTGACGTCATATTCGAGGGTGGGGGGGGTCTGACTTTTTGTGACGTCGTGTGACGAAGGGGGGGGGTCCAAATCCGTCCATAATCGCGTGACGTCATTTATGGACGGCCCTATGGTGATGGAGGGGTTGGTGGGGGTGACCTCACAGCCGCTTATCGATATCAGCGGCTGCGAATCTTGAGGTTTTAACCCTCTGGTCTGACACCGCTAGAGATTTGGCGGCAAACCATCTCGCGTTTGGCGGTCAAACTTAAACGGATGTTTAAAAAGAAAAACTACTCACAACCACGTTGCTTCTTCTAAAATAAATAAATATATAATAGGCGACGTTCCGAGCACCGGACCTTGGATATTCCACGTGCTATGAAGAAGGGTCCCGTTGCCCGAAACGTCGGATTTTAAGGTTGTTTTCTGAACTGCACTTGGCGTACGACTGCCAACAACGCAGCATCAGCAGAAAATTAAAATTCTGAAACACAGTAGCGAGTAAAGCATAGAGCAACCCACTAAACATTTAGTAAAATCCTCCAGCGCTGAAACGTATTGATCTAGAGGTGAACCCTCCAGACTGGCACCTCACTGAAGACAAGGCGTCCACTAATGCAGTTCTTCAGGAACTGGTGGTGGGGTGTTTGTGTGTGTGTGTGTGTGCGATTAAATTTCGATTTAAAGCTTTCGTGACTGCAGGGATTCATCTTCTTGGTTCTTTCGGTAAAGTCACGTAGAAGGGAAATAATAAAATAATAAAAATAAAACATAATAAAATAAAATATTTTATTATTTTATTTTATAATGTTTATTTTTTATTATTTTATTATTATAATAAAAATAAAACATAATAAAATAAAATATTTTATAAAAATAATAAAATATTTTATTTTATTATGTTTTATTTTTATTATTTTATCATTTCCCTTCTACGTGACTTTACCGAAAGAACCAAGAAGATGTGTGCGAATTGTTTAACATCCACTCATAGAACACGACAATAGGAGATCGAGAGGTTCGTCTTCTGCCGCTGTGCACGATGGCAGCAGCGAGATGCTCATGAACTCGATGCCAGTGTCAAGGGTCTGTGCAGGGCACGACGAGAGGGCTTCAAATATATTAATATATTACTGGTGGGAACCTCCTGGTTACACCAGCCCACAGAGGATTATTGTGTCCGTCCGTCGTGCAGGGAGGGGCTGGGGGGGGAGGGTGGGAGGGGTGGGGCTGGGTGGGGAGGGGAAGGTGGGGCTGGGTGGGGAGGGTGGGAGGGGTGGGGCTGGGTGGGGAGGGGAAGGTGGGGATGGGTGGGGAGGGTGGGAGGGGTGGGGCTGGGTGGGGAGGGGACGTTGGGGAGGGTGGGAGGGGTGGGGCTGGGTGGGGAGGGGAAGGTGGGGCTGGGTGGGGAGGGTGGGAGGGGTGGGGCTGGGTGGGGAGGGGAAGGTGGGGCTGGGTGGGGAGGGTGGGAGGGGTGGGGCTGGGTGGGGAGGGGAAGGTGGGGCTGGGTGGGGAGGGTGGGAGGGGTGGGGCTGGGTGGGGAGGGGACGTTGGGGAGGGTGGGAGGGGTGGGGCTGGGTGGGGAGGGGAAGGTGGGGCTGGGTGGGGAGGGTGGGAGGGGTGGGGCTGGGTGGGGTGGGGCTGGTCACCCCGTGGTGCCCCATGCGAGCTGTCAAACCACCACCACAACCCAAGACAAAGATCCCCCGTGTAGCCTTAACAGACTGTAGGGGCAAGTGCTGTTAGCGAGCACCTATGAAGGCCGGCACTGTGGCACACGAGGGGGGTGGGTGGCCAGCACCACGCCCGGCCGCCTTTGTCTCCCCAGTGGCGATGTTTTACACACCGCACCGGGTACTAATTTGAGGCTGAGTCGACCTAAGGGAGGCCCAGTACCGGTTCAGATAATCGTCACTGGGTGTTGGCCGTGAGCGGGAATCGAACTCGAGTCGCCAGGTTCGTAGCGCGGCGCGCTAACCGCTCCACCACCGCTCCTCACCCCCCCACCACCCCCCACCCACGACCAGAGGGAAATCCTCCGCTATGACACCGCCCGTGTCCTCGAACCCTAAGAAACGCACCCTCCCGCCCTCCCCCACGTGGAAAGTTCGCGAATTCATTCCGCACGCTTCCCCTGCCGCTCGTCAAGAATCCTCACCATGGTGAGTCTCCCTCTCTCTGTCTCTCACCTCCCCTCTCTATCGCTCACCGTCTCTCTCTCTCTCTCACCCTGCTCACCAACAACGGAGGCAATCGCCACGACGGCTGTCGAATTAGTGATCGGCCCCGAAGCCGGTCAAGGCCTAGCCTAGCCTAGGCCTGACGCCGTCGGTTCGAGTGAGGGGGGTGGGGAGAGAATTGTTATCGTTCTTAACGCGCGCACGGATGATTCGTGAGTGTCGACGTTTAAACTTGATCGTTCTGGTGTTCGCCGGCAATAGATTGACTCGGTAAGGGGGTTGGGGGGGGGGGGTTGTGTGCTTCGTGAGGTCTGCGCGCTGAATGAATGGGCGTTGCTTAAATTTTTTTAACAATACCACGATTTTTTTTCACGCGCTGAGGCTCGCGTTTAATTGTCACGCGTATTGTATGCGCGGTGTTTTATTTGTTTGCACTGCGTCTAACTGTTGAAATTCAATTTGGGCTTCGCTTTTGTCCGTAACGGCGTGTGAAATGGCGTGGGTGAGATTCTTAGGGTTCTCTGCACATGGCCATAGATGGTGCCTGTGACGGCTCTGCACCGTTTGAGGTTCACGATGGCCATGCCAGGTTCCAAGTGGCCATGCCAGGTTCACGATGGACGAGTTGGGTTCATGATGGCCATGTCAAGTTCTCAATGGCCATGCCAGGTTCACAATAGCCATGTCAGGTTCACGATGGACGAGTTCGGTTCATGATAGCCATGCCAGGTTCACGATGGCAATGCCAGGTTCACAATGGCTATGCAAGGTTTACAGTGCCCTAGTTAAGTTCACAATTGCCATGCCAGATTCACAGTGGACGAGTTGGATTCATAATGGCCATGTCAGATTCTCAATGGCCATGCCAGGTTCACAATAGCCATGTCAGGTTCACGATGGCCATGCCAAATTCACAATAACCATGCCAGGTTCACAGTGGACGAGTTGGATTCACGATGGCCATGTCAGGTTCTCAATGGCCATGCCAGGTTCACAATAGCCATGCCAGGTTCACGATGGCCATGTCAGGTTCACGATGGCCATGCCAAATTCACAATAACCATGCCAGGTTCACAGTGGACGAGTTGGATTCACGATGGCCATGTCAGGTTCTCAATGGCCATGCCAGGTTCACAATAGCCATGCCAGGTTCACAGTGGACGAGTTTGATTCATGATGGCCATGTCAGATTCTCAATGGCCATGCCAGGTTCACAGTGGCCATGCCAGGTTCACAATAGCAATGCCAGGTTCACGATGGCCATGTCAGTTTCACAATAACCATGCCAGGTTCACAGTGGACGAGTTAGATTCATGATGGCCATGTCAGGTTCTCAATGGCCATGCCAGGTTCACAATAGCCATGCCAGGTTCACAGTGGACGAGTTTGATTCATGATGGCCATGTCAGGTTCTCAATGGCCATGCCAGGTTCACAATAGCAATGCCAGGTTCACGATGGCCATGTCAGGTTCACAATAGCCATGCCAGATTCATAATAACCATGCCAGGTTCACAGTGGACGAGTTGGATTCATGATGGCCATGTCAAGTTCTCAATGGCCATGCAAGGTTCACATAGGGCGAGTTCGGTTCACGATAGCCTAGGATCGTAATGGGCGTTGTCAGGTTTGATGGACATGTCAGATTCATATTGATGGTTATGTCAGATTCATATTGATGCCTATGTCCGGTTCATACTTTCCAATGTCCGGTTCCTAATGGGTGCGTCAGGTTTATGATGGACGTCACGTATTGACAATGGCCAAGTAAGGTTCACAATGGCCAATTTTATTTCATGATGGTTTTGACAGCTCCTAATGGGGGCGTGTCAAGCTCACAATGGCCAGGTTCACCATCGCCAAGAGAGGTTCATAATGTTGGTCATTTACATGGAAACTTGAGCCATATTGGGGCATAACGGGTGTGTCCCGAGTCATCGTGGCCATGTTAGTGGAACGGAGCCGGCATCGCTGAGATGTTGGATTCAAGCCCTGGACCTGAGTATCCAATTCACATGCATAATGGCCATGTCATTCGTAATTGTCATGTCAGGGACATTGAATTGACATCCCTGTTATTCTAGGATTATTCCTCGTGTCTGTGTGTGTCTATTTTGTATGACAAGGGGTTGATAATGGTTGTGCAGAGACTGAATCAGCATGACTCTGATCGAGGCTTCACTCCCAAGGCATGGTTAACCCAATTCGAAAGAGGTGGTTCATAATTTTTCCGTAAGTTAATTTTCCTCTGTTTTTAAAAGTAATTTGTCTGATCCAATTTTCGTTACAGGATATTTATCTTATTTAGTATTGATTCATGTTTGTGCATAGTGTTCCGATTGCTTCTGTGATGCCGTTGTTTATTTTCTCTGATTTATTTATGTTGTTTTTGCTCTTATTTCAATTCGGTTCTTTTTTATTTGCTCTTTTCATCTACTGTATTTTGCATTAGTGCTTTTGTCATTAGGTGACCCAGGTCACCGTTTATATGAGACACTTCCTGGTTTCTTGCGTTCTCAGCTCAATCAAAACGTGAACCCCCCCTCCCCTCAAAAGTTTCTGGGTTCAGTCTCTGGTACTGGGTGCCTCTCTCTACTCACTGATGGTTGCTGTCAGTCCATCTAACTCACCGATCGATGTTGCTGGCCTGTCTACTCGCTGATTGTAACCCCGTGCATTGTGTTTGCAGGTGTCTCTCGCTCCAATCAACATCTTGAAGTCAGGGGCCGATGAAGAAAAGGCGGAGACAGCTCGGCTGGTAAGACTCATCTCCAGAATTATTTGGTCAAAAGTAAAATGTGACTTACTAAGGTGCCAATCAGGAATTTAAAATATCTTACTGGTAGGAACCTCCTGGTTACACCAGCCCACAGGAGATTGTTGTGTCCGTCGTGCAGGGAGGGACTGTGTGGGGAGGGAGGGGCTGGGTGGGGAGGGAGGGGCTGGGTGGGGAGGGGCTGGTCACCCTGTGGTGCCCTTATACAACTCAACGTTTAACCTACTCACGCCGACTTGTGCCCGCCCTTCACAGTCGGCCATATTTGCGGAATACACCACGCCGCCGTTGACCCTGGCCATTGACCGAGCAACCCAACGTTCCTACCAGCTCCCTCCGCAGGACAATGTGTTTTGCGGGCAACCATAGACATATCCACCTTGTATAGCTTTTTAACAAATCGTCGGGGCAAGTGCTGTAAGCAAGCGCCTATGAAAGGCTGGCACGGCACACAAGGGGTGAGTGACCAGCACCACGCCTGGCCGTATTTGTCTCCCCAGTGCTGATGTTTTACCCGCCGCATCAGGTACTCAAACGGAAAGGCTGAGTTGACTTTGGGGAGGTCCAGGACCGGTTTATATTCGCCACTGCAAGAGGCCCTTAGAGAGACAAAGTAACTTGAGGCGTGCAAATATAAAAAATTGTGTTGCCATGCCAACAACATATTTCCCTCTAGGACCCGATTAGTGCTGCTCAGGCTTTTGTGGCGATGGGTTAAATATTGCGTGGGCCATTTTAAAGCCTCATGGCTACAGGCCATACCCAGACTATGGAAAATAAAATCCAGTAAATTTAAAACACTAGTGAGTGTATAACATTAAAAAGCTAAACATTAGCATCCAGTTACAACAATTAACACAAATGATTAGTAACTTATAAATAATTTTTTTAAATAAATGGGTCGTTTGACAGTACTTCACGCTGATCAGATCGGTGCAAATATCACTCGCGACTGATGTTAGGTCCATCCATATGCGGAGCTTTCCGGACAAAGATGCAAAAAAAATTATGTAAATACATACAAGAATATAGATTCGTCGCTCATACGAATAACCATTTCTCACTGGTTTGATCCGGCTACAAGTTGGAGACATTCTTAAAATATAAATTCTGTCTGAGCCCCATTGTGTATTTTGCAGTCTCCAAACTATTATTCAATCTCTGTGGCCTGTTTCTTGGCTGTGGAGAAGGTCCGTTTCCTGGAATGTCACTTGTTTCATCTATATATTTAGGGCAGTGTTATTCATGAAATTGTTGAGTTTTAGCTAAATGTGCCAATGCAGTAAAAGGCTAAAGGTACAGCCCTGCAATTTCCCGCTCATGACACTGTTGTCGGAAGGCCCTCGGCTATAGGGAGATCTAGAGATCCTACAGAGTGTATTTGGCCTCCTCTTCCACCCTCACCAATCGTCTTGGAAGAGGTGGCCATTCTCACACTTTACCCCACCACACAAGACCCTCTCATGTTCAAGTTCATTGATTAGGTATAGCCCTGTGAGCCATTCGGCTCTTGAATCGGGTGCAACCGCAACACACAAAAAAAACAAAAACATGAACAAATATACATCTTAAAGTGAATATGTGACTGAGTGCAAACAGAAAATCCAAGAAAAGACAGCAAAATATTGCAGAAAAAAACACCGTACACCAACGCTGTGTGCAAAAATCCCAGTGGGATGCAAGTCAAACAACCAACATCGACTTAACCGTGGTGCAGCCGTATACGTGGTGCCGAGTGGACCGACTGTTGCTCTTTGGAAAGAGGAGGCATGGATAGGGGGTGTTGGTGGTGGGGGGGGGGACATGGAATCGAACCGGTGACCCTTGGATTGCAAGTCCAGAGGGCTCAACCATTACAACCACAGCAGCCAAATGCAGCATCAAAAAACATTGATTTTAAAATTTAACTGAGAGCAGCGAAGCAAATTCTTCCTCCCGTTGCAGCGAAACAGCATCAGCGCCTGGGTGCACGGCATTTTTTTTTCGAACGGAGCTCTTTCTGCGGGGAGGCGGCTGACGCAGGCAGGCACTGAAGCGTGCGCGTGATGAGTGGGGTATGATGTGAGCGTCGCGCATCGCTGAGCAGAGCAACGGTGCAGCGCACGCGTTAGCCGGCGGACTCACCTCTAGGGCTCTGTGACATATAGAGCGCGATGGTGGCCACGGCAGGCGGTTGTGGCGGTGAGCAGCGGCGCGCCGCGCTTGCAACCCAGAGGCCGCTGGTTCGATTCCATCTCCTGGCGGGGCAGTCGAAACGACGCTGTGAATTTCTGAAATTCCCTCCGCTGCCCACAGCAGCGCGGGCGGTTTACAGCACCGTCTGTGACCGGCAGGGCGCGTGTGCTGGTGAAGTGTGGGCAGCACACTCCGTTCGACGCGTCTGGTCAGCGTGAAAAAGTTCCAATACCCTCAAAGAGTTGGCTTTAGGTGGGGGGGGAGACCTTTCTCTGCCAGCAGTGATGTGAGTAAGCACTTGCAGGTCTGCCCTCTTTACCTTAAACTTTACTTGGCCGTTGCTCGTCTGTGCGCACGCACTTGTAGGGGTCAACAAAGAGGACCGCTTATTCCAGCAAAAAACAAACTAATTTATAACCGGCATCATCGTTGACCGGCCATGGCTGGAGGGCGACCTCCCCAAGCCCTCGGGATGTCCCTCGTTCTCGCGGTGTCACAATCCGATCTCGTGCCCCTGCCACTCCCCGCTTTGCAGCACAACGCAGGGAGCCGAGCCGATTGGTGTTGGGGGTACAAAGATAGCCAGCTGAACCCCGCTCGCCGTTCAGTCGGTTCAAAGTGGGTTTCGAAGGTTTCGATTCTGGTTCAGCCGTTTGAGAGAGAGAACCGTTCAGAACCGGGTAAAATTTGCATCTTAGCTCCAAATTGGCGAGCTAAATGCCCTCCCGTGTGTGTCTTTGATTGCAGGGTACGGTAGAGGCTACACCTGGGGACCTCTTCGTGTTGCCGTTTTCTCGCCCATTTACTTGCAAATAAGCAATGTTTATTGCAAATAAGCAGTGTTTTTATTGCTTATTCGCAACATCAAACACTTCTTTCTCTGTGTGTGAGGTGGAGTCGGAAAGACAAAGGGAGATGCTCACACAAAGAGAGATGCCCAAACAAAGGGAGATGCTCACACAGAGGGAGATGCTCAGACAAAGGGAGATGCTCACACAGAGGTAGATAAACACACAAAGGGAGATGCTCACACAAAGGGAGATGCAGTAAAAGTCGGAAGATTGCTCTTTGTGGGCGCCTATAGAGAGACCTTTTAAACACTAAAGTACAGTACGTACATTTTGTACTGTACTTCAAGTATAACTTAACGACTGTTGTAATGACGACTTTATTCATTACCGTGGAGGAAACACATCGGTTCACACCTTAAATTGACTTTTAAATATGGATGGGAAATCGTGTTATATATATCTCATCCGCGCGAAAGTGCTATTAACGAAAGCTTCATTTAATAATATTTCCCCCCGCCGATTTCGCTGACCTAAAAAGAACACATTTTCTCTCCGCATTGAACAGGAATACTCAACTCTTTTGTTGAAGGGGTGAAGCTTCGGCGCTTCCTCCGTGTGAATCAATAAAGTTGTGGTTAAATTGTTGGTGGAGGAATGCTGTGGGCGATGTTTATTTTCCAGGTTCTATTGCTTAAATCGTGTTTGTATTCATGCATGCACAAGCACGTGTAATAATAGACAATGCCCAGCATTACTGACATATACTTTCTAATGCATTCGAATTTATATTCATATGGACGTCTAAATGCAAGCGCGTGGTCCGGACGCGTCGCAGGGTTAAACATTGTTGTTCGGCGCGCTGCTGCTGTGCCCGCGGAAACAAATGGGGCCTTTAGGCTGAACTTGAACAATGGCGGCAGCGGAGTCTAAACCTCGCCGGAGGAGTTGAAGCGGGGAGGGAATTCCAGACAGCGGGAGCAGAAGCTGAGAAGGAGCGACCTCCTCCCGCTGGATGAAGAAGTGTTGGCGACCGTGGACGACTTTTGTTTACGGGTTTTGCAGCCCTTTTTAAAGATAGATCTGTTACCATCCAAGCTTGTGATGCTTAATATTTATTCGTTATTGAACCCATTTGGAACCGCGAACCTCGGTTTGGTTCCGTTCCCTGATGCATTGCGTCTTAGTGCACGACAGAGGTCGCAAACGGGTTTTGATTCTTTACCCGTACCCGTACCCGGCCGCACCAGGGTCGCAAATGGGTACCCGTACCTGGCTGGGTATGGGTACCCGTTCCCTACCCGTACCCTACCCAAAATGAGTGACAAACGGTTACTCACTAGTGACTCACGGCCTACCCGTACCCGGCCGCACCAGGGTCGCAAACGGGTACCCGTACCTGGCCGGGTACGGGTAGCCGGGTATCGGGTAGGGTACGGGTATCGGGTACCCGGTTGCGACCTCTGGTGCACGAGCGTCCGAACCAAATGCCGCCTGCCGCATAAACAGTCGGCGTGCGTGAAGGGCAGAGGAGAAGGGGAAAGGTGGCCTTGAGGCCGGACTAGACCAAGGACAGGAGGTCAACGGCACTTTGATGCCTCTGGCAGCAGCAGGAGGGGATGAGCGACCCTCGCGTGAACTGGTCTTGCTGCGCCAGCGTGCACGGTTGTGGTTGCCCTCGCGGGCCTCTGTGCCCTTTCTTCCTTCGCCTGCCACTCCAGTCACCCTTCTACTCCACTGGCCCTCAAACCCCTCCAGCAACGCGACGTGTACTGCCTAAGCCAGCTTGTGTTCACTCAATTCACTGCAAAGTTTCGTGATTCTAGATTTGAAGCTTTCGTGACTGCAAGGATTCATATTCTTAGGTTTTTTCGGTAAAGTCACGTAGGTAAAAAATTAAAATTAATAAAAGTAAAATAAAAATAAAATGAAAATCACGACGTTTCGGAGGCAACACAAGCTTCCGTCTTCAGGTGGAACCGTCACAGCACGATAGCTGTATCAAGTGAGACAGACGGAGCAAATGCATAGTTTTTTGATCCGTGCTTTTCTCTTTTTCTCTCTCTGTGCAATCTTCACTTAATATTCTTTCCCATTGATTGTGTTCACGCTTACGGTGACTTGCAGACCGCATTCCATTTTTCTGCTCCCCCCCTCCTCTTTTCCGAACATAGATGGACTCGTCCATCTGGCCAACTGCCAAATCGCTCTCCGTGGTGCTGACGTCAGGAACAAACCGCCACTTTTTTTCAAATTTTCTTGCTGTGGATTTCACACCTGATGATGATTGCTTGTGTTGCAGTCGAAACGTCGTGAGAATTTTTATTGTTTTATATTTTTATTATTTTATTTTTTCCCTTCTACGTGACTTTACCAAAAGAATCAAGAATACGAATCCCTGCAGTCACGAAAGCTTTACATCGAAATTTCGTGCCATTGTTCGTCCCATTGTTGATTGTCATGTTTCCGACCAAATTTAGTTTTGTGATGTTGAACACCTCGAGTCCTTTGAATAGAGGTGCTTTATAAATGTAATTTACAATTCTTATTTTCTAAAAGCATTACCTGAATTGAACACTCTCCTCTTGAAGCGCATCGGTATGTTCTTTCATTATCTAAATCACCCGAAGCCTACCCTAAATCACGTGACCTCTGTGTGGCCACTCCCACTCTGAACCCCTCGCCGCCGCCGCCCCCTGTGAAAACGGACATCTTTCCGTGCAGCAGCGATGAGGCCCGAATGTGTAGCCTCATCCTCCCTATCCTGTAACACCTTCATATATAGAGGACTTGCAGAGCTTGGCCAGTTGTTGGCACTCCTACTCATCACGTGACTACTGCTGCCTTCCTGCTTGCCAATGGTTGCTCGCGCCTCAGAGTCGTTCTCTCGCGACGAGAGCAAGCGAATGGAGTGCGTGTTAAACGTAGAAATAATAATTCTTTACAAGCGTTAATCCCTCCCTCCCCGAACTCCCCGTGACAGACAGATGGAGCAAATGCATTAAGGATTTGGTGCTTTTCGTTGTTGAAAAACGATAAAAAAAACGTACAAAAAAAAAATAGCTTGCCCGAGCGTGGAGTGCTTACATAAGCCGCCGCCAACAACGACGAGTCCGTCGAATTTAAAAACGCGTGAAATTATCGAGGGCTGTAAATCACCGCGCTTTTTTCTTCGATGTTGGCTGATTGCGCGAGGCGCCTCATTATTCCGCCGAGTAACAGATTGGAAGCCGATTACGGTAATTGCCTGTTGCGGCCACTGATTGAAGCGTGGCGAATTGTCCGTCCGTCCGTGCGTGCGTTGCTGCTGGCGGTTTTTTGGGAGTGTCGCGTGCGGCGAGAATCGGTTCTCGTTACGTTTGCCAAGAGGTCGGAGGCGCTGAGACGTCGCCGCTGAGACCCTGGGTTCGAACCCGGGTTTCAGTCACTGCCTGCGATTGAACCGGGTTCTCAGGTGCGGTGAGTTGACGGTTTCAGCCCGGTCACCGATTACTGTGCAAAAAAAACAAAGAACGGTCGCGTTTTTAAAGTTGATTTTGCATTCCGCTCGGATGAATTCCAGCTCTGCAAAGTAATGTGCCGCTTTGATTGTCTTTTGACGAACATTACTCTCCTGTGGCAGGGCGAGTGGGAACGTGGTGCCCCTCTGCTCGAGTGGACCAGAGCTCACTCGAAATAGGAATATCATACTCTTAGGTTTTTTCGGTAAAGTCATGTAGGTAAAAAATATAATTAATAAAAGTAATAATAGAAATAAAATAAAATAACAAATCACGACGTTTCGGAGGCAACACAAGCTTCCGTCTTCAGGTGGAACAGTCACAGCACGATAGCTGTATCAAGTAAAGAGAAATCCCAAGAGACCCGACCTTGTATATGTACTGGTTGAGGAGGGGAGGAGCCAAGGTAGGCCCTTGGAGAGGAGTTTTTATGTTAAGGTTGGTACTGCTGTGGCTACTGCTGGGACTGAGCCTTTGTTACGTAGACTGGTTAAGCGTAGAGGAGCCAGGGTGGGCCGCGGGAGAGGAGTTGTTATATGGTTGGTGCGGCTACGGCTGCTGCTGCTGCTGCTGCAGCTGCTGCTGCTGCGACTGCTGCTATAGGAATATCAGCGGTAGCCCTGCGGTATCCGCTTCCTCGTGCCTTTCGGAATCCCTTACTACCGCTCTCGCAAGGAATTCGGGTGGGCACTTGATCTCGCGATGTTAGCACAGTCGTGCCAACGCGTTAGGCAGTAGAGATAAATGTTTAAACGATCCGATGGAGGGGTGGCCATCTGGCTTAGAAGTGAGAGCACCGAACTGGCACCAGTGAGATCCTGTGATGAAACCTGGAGTGGCCCTCAAGGGCAGTGAGTTGGTTGATTTAATTTGTCTGTGCGTACGCATTTGCTTGTGCCAGGTCCTACTGCTGCAAAGTAGACGGAGAGGAGATTGTTACTGGTAGGAATCTCCTGGTTAAACCAGCCCACAGGGGATTATTGTGTCTGTCGTGCAGGGAGGGGCTGGGTGGGGAGGGAGGGGGGAGGGTGGGGCTGGGTGGGGAGGGGCTGGGTGGGGAGGGTGGGGGGTGGGAGAGTGTTGCTGGGTGGGGGGTGGGAGGGTGGGGCTGGGTGGGGGGTGGGGCTGGGTGGGGAGGGGCTGGTCACCCCGTGGTGCCCTTATAAAACTCAACGTTTAACCTACTCACGCCGGCTTGTGCCCGCTCTCACAGTCGGCCATATTTGTGGAATACACCACGCCGCCGTTGACCCTGGCCATTGACCGAGCAACCCAACGTTCCTACCAGCTCCCTCCGCAGGGATGTGTTCAGCAATTGGCGGCCTGATTGTTGTGGCTGGCTGCCCTCTTGTCACCCCCGCCCCAATGAAATGGGCGTGCGCGCAAGAGGATGTTGCATTGACTGGCGTGTTGGCCAAGCGCGGGCTAAAATCATCTTGTTTTTTGCTGTGGTTGTCCCACCTGATGACAGAAGCTTGTGTTGCTTCCGAAACGTCGTGATTTAATTAGATTATTTTAAAACATTTTATTTTATTTTTTCACCTACGTGACTTTACCGAAATAACAAGAGTATGGATCCTTGCAGTCACGAAAACTTCAAATATAGAATTAAATCATCTCGCCACCGTCTCTATCCTCTGTTGGATCTAGGCACCTGGTACACAGGAGGGTGGTGGTGGTGGGTTCGATCCCAACCCTGATGCCCTGTGTATCAGGAGTTTGCATGTTCTCCCTGTGGTCGCGTGGATTATTCTCTGGCTCCTCCAGTTTTTCTCCTCCACGTTTAGAATCGACGTCGCGCGTTTAGAGTACTTTGCTGCTATACATTTACACGTGATGATAAGCGGCGACTTCATTTAGGCTATCGTTTGTGGTGGCCAGGCCGCTTCTGAAAAAATAGTTTTTGTTAGCTTAGTGAGCCTTTACTGGTCAAATAAAAAAAAACACTTAAAATATAAAAAAAATATGAAATTCTTGCCATCCACTCATGGTCGCACGATGCAACAATCCATCTAGCTCCTCCACACCGACTGCTTTCGTTGCTCCATCTCCGCGCTGGACGTCATCTCGGGGCGTGTTCCCTCCTTCCGGCTGCTGCCACTCCAGCTTTAGTCTCGACCACTGGCCTCATCGTGACTCAAGGCCGATGGTTGCGAGTTCAACTCCTGGTTCCCTCTGTGGTCGGTAAAATGTGATGGGTGCCAATGAGCAGCGCCTCGTGGAGAATCCCAACAGTGGTTGCCCGATGGATCGACTTGCCCCTGGCATAGGAATGTGGTATTTATAGCAGTGGCTCAGGGCTGTAAACATGCAGTGAGCAACCGCTTCGATGCTCATTTGAGTGCGATGCATTAAGAGTTGGAGCCGCAACCGAGTTGAAAATATCCCTCCACCCGGAGGCTCGGTACGCAGCGTGCGGTACATCGCCTCACCGATTTTTGACGTCAACTCCCGTTGTCACGAGCGACAGGCACGGAGTGGCTCCAACATCTCGGACATGCGCAGCTCGTCGTGCGTGTGCGGTGCTGAGCCACCTGCAATTCAATTGATGCCCCAGTGGTTTGTGGCCCTGTTTACACGGCGGGTGGTGTGCGTTCCCGGTCCCTGGCGTGCACAATTTGTAAGGGGCACCCGTGAAGTAATGACCACGGTCGCACACATCCTGTGCACACTCGCCCGGTGCTTGGGTCTGGCTCTCGGTGCAATCCCCCCAGATGTTATTACAACAGGGCTCTTGAACGTAGGCGTTTGAATGCGGCAACAAGCTAGTCTTGTGTTTTTATTTATTACGGAAGCCTTTCCACAGCATCCAGGGTAGCCGAGTGGTTAGAAGGTCCTTTCGCGTCACTTAGTAGTGGATGGCGGTTGTTGTTGTGTCTGTTCGGCTGCATTGTTGTTGTGTTCACTGATGCCATGGATGTTTACTCTTTCGTCTTTTTCCCACTTCCCTCCTCCCTCTGCCAGTCTTCCTTCATCGGCGCCATCTACATTGGAGACTTGGTCAAAAGCACCCTGGGCCCCAAGGGCATGGTGAGTCACCCAAACTAGACTTGTTTGTCCCTTCCCCCAGTATTATCTAATTTTGCACTGTCGGCCGCGACGTTGTCACGACGGTGGAGAATTCCGTCGGCATCTCTCGGGAGAGCCGGTGCAATCCGTCGTCGCGTTGGAGAACGGCCCGCAGAAGCGGACGTCACAGGGCTACTCTGGAGATCCCGTCAAATTGACTTCTGGTCAGAGGTCGCAAACGGGTTTTGATTCCTTACCCGTACCCGGCCGCACCAGGGTTGCAAACGGCTACCCGTACCCGTACCCGGCCGGGTATCGGGTAGGGTACGGGTATCGGGTACCCGGTTGCGACCTCAGTTTCTGGTCCGCGCGACAGTCGAGGGCATCGCTTCCCCCACCGTACTTGCGCTGCCGAGAGTAGCGTACTTCGCACACGGCGGTCAATCGTGCGTACAATGATTGTCGGAGCTGGAACTTAGCCGTGTTGAGTGAAAAAGGAAATGTGGGCCCGGGATCTCGGTGGTGCCAGTTCAGTGCTGTGTGACCCCCTGACCTCTGAGCCACCGGGCCAGATTCTAAACACAGTTTAGGCGACTTGCTAATCGATAACGTTTAAAGTCTTCGCTGATTAACAATCACTGCAGATGATGGAGCGAAATTGGCATAGCGTTGTCATCGCGCTTTAAGCGATCGATAAGTTACTCATCTGACCTTGCTAGTGTTGAGCAATACCAATTATCATCATCATTATCAACAACAGCCATGATCAGTCCACTGCTGGATGAAGGCCTCCTGAGTCTCGCAACCTTGTCAGAAATCTGACAATCGTTTGGGGGGGGGGGGGGGGTGTGTGTGTGATGTAGCCGAGTAGAGGGGTGCGGTTTGAATCCGGCAGGCTGCCCTGGATAATACCGTACGTGGTGCCGTCTGCGGACGTTAAAGATCCCCTTTGCCATAATTCAAAATGAGAATGCGTCGTCGCGGTAAGTAAAAAAAAATCCCATTACAGATGAGATGCAAGCCACTAAACGCGACGGCGTAAAGGGGCACCCTTTCAGAAGCAACTCTCCATCATTACGGTTATTATCGCGGGAAGAATTATCGTCAAAGGCGGCGAGGGATTTGGGGAAGGAGTGAGGAGGGCGCTGCAGGAGGAGGAGGAGATGCGAAGCGATGAAGCCGTGGGCGAGGATCTCGTGCGGCAGAGGAGACGTGGAAGTGGCGGTTGCGAGAGAGACGGCGGTGGAGGCGGTGGGTAGGAGGTCTCCGTCTCGGTTGATGGACGTGGGAGGAAAACGATTAGGTTTTTCCTGCTCCGTTGATACTCGGCGTTTGACACCGCTAATCACGAGCTCGCCGCGAACACGTTACAGGGCGCAATTAGCTCATCAGAAATAAACCCCGCATTAAAACGCGCGGCATTAATTCCCCGTGTGTTGATCGTTTCGTCAGAACGGGCGAATGCACCGTGTATTTATTCGTGACAGGCTACACGGGGATACTCGGCACTTGAGAAACGAACACGCCCTCCCCCCCCCGCCTTCCCACCCACGTCGTTCTGCCGTGCCAGAGACTCCCGCGGGGCGTGCTCGCGCGCGCGCGCACGCGTGCGGGGCCGTCTTCTCGGTCCGCTCCGCTGCTGGATGAGGGGCCTCCCTCACGCCGCGCTCTGGGCAGTGCGGGTCGTTGGAGGCGCGCGGAGTGTAGCCTTTGCGGCAGCATTGTGCGGCGTAACAATGCGTTTGCTTCGCTGCCCACAGTGGCTATTGTTTTACGTGCCAATCCAAGCTCTAGCAGGCTCAAACCCGCTGAGCTTCTGAGATCCGTTGGCGTCCGACGCACTCGGCGATTTGATCTCAGGTATCTGTTATACAGGAGGTCGTGGGTTGGAACCCGACCCTGAAGCCTGCTGTATATTTGCTGTATAAGTTTGCATGTTCTCCCCGTGGATTTTTCTCCGGGTCCTCAACATTTAGAATCAACGCGCGCTTGGAGTATTTGGCTGCTATCAATTTCCACGCGATATGCCACTTTGCTGAGCTATCATTTGTGGCCAGGTCGCCTCTGAGAAAGCGTGATATAGCTCAGTGGGCCTTACCTGGTAGAGTAAAAAATAGTTTGTGGTTTAAATGTATCTGAAGCGTGTGTTATACTACAGTACGACTTAATGTGTGGTGTGATTATTCAGTCGGTTAGTACTTCAATTCGACCACTCCACTCTCAGTCGGAGGGTCGCAAGTTCAAATCCCAGTTGGGGAGTTGTCGTCAACATTATCATCATCGTGCCTCTCAAGGTTTAATAAAATGAGAGCCACTTTGTGGGACATGGACGGACAGTGACTGTTCTACGGAGAAGCTGTCCCCTGCCCATGGGAACGTGGAATTTCCACCACCGGTTTGTGAACATCGGTGGGGATGAGCGCCGCTTCATTGCTCGTTTCAGCAGGGAAACCGACGCTCTCTATCCCTGCGAAGTGTAATTTTTTTAAACTTTAAATGATTGTAAATCCTTTGTTTTACACGGGGCGGGTCTCGCTGAGTCTCAAGACTCGGTTTAAATGTTTCCCTCCAGACAGGTCTTGGGAACAAAGTGTTTTAACAAAATAATAGCGACACCCTAATTGTATGTGTGCAAGCAGCATCACCGAATAGTTTCGTGGGTCTCCTGAGTAATTGGCCCTCAAAATTTTGACACCCGCCTTGCGAGTTTTTTTTTTTGTAGCAGGCGGTAAAAAAAAAAACCAACCCAAACACCATTACCTTGAGGTGACGTGTCATTCTGATGAACACCGGTGCTAACGCTGCTGCTTGGTTTGACCACTAGGGCCTTGTACCCCCACCCTCCTCCCCCCCACCTCACACCTGCACCGCTCACCGCCACCCAGACCACGTTGTCCGCTCCTCCAGCCCGCCCGTCGACGCGTCGCCACAAAGCGGCGCGTCTCACCTTGTGGGATCGCCGAGCCGCACGGCTCGTAACTAAACGGTGGCGGTGACGCGGGGCTGGTCGTCGCGTGACGCCCGGCCACGCGGTGCAGAAATTGCTGCGGGCGTTTTAAACTCAACAACGCTACCCACCTCCCACCCTCTGCTTCAGAGCGGACGTTACAGATCCTATTCTTGGTTCTTTCGGTAAAGTCACGTAGAAGGGAAATAATAAAATAATAAAAATTAAACATAATAAAATATTTCTCACGACGTTTCGGCCACAACGCAAGCAGCCGTCCTCAGGTGAAGAACAGGTCTATCGGAAAGACAGCGTCTGAATGAAACACCACCGGGCTTGGAGCGTCTATTTAAGCTGGGTTGGAGGGGGTTTTATTTTATTATTACCCTTCTACGTGACTTTACCGAAAGAACCAAGAATATGAATCCCTGCAGTCACGAAAGCTGTAAATCAAAAGTTACACATCCTGTTACGACGTCGTTCGTAAAGAGTGGGCCATTGTGTGCCGGCGTCGTGCTCCGAATTTGCCGATTTTTTTTAAATCAATTTGGAGTCCACACAGTGGCATCGCCCGCCTGCTGTGAAACCACTGCGTAATGTCGCCGCGAAACCAACCCTTAGCGCGGTAGGCATGACGGCACGAATACCAAATGCGCATAATAATAATACTGCTTATTGTTGATTGTTAAACGGAGCGTGCTCGCTCGCTCGCGCGCGTTCCCTCTCGCTCCCCGTAGGACAAGATCCTCCTGGGCTCGTCCGGCTCGGGGGAGGCAATAGTGACGGTCACCAACGACGGCGCCACCATCCTCAAGTCCATCGGGGTGGACAACCCGGCCGCCAAGATCCTAGTGGGTGAGTGTGCCCCAGAAAGACGAGGACGACGACACTTTCAACGTTTACATCGCGTCCAAAGCCGTGTGCGCACCTGAGCAATCGGTCACGTGACATGGGCATGCAACCGAATTGCTTCTATTTGGATGTCTCCGCTGTCGGTCGAGAGCAGTTGTGCGCACTGCCAGTTGCAAGCGGTAGAGGCAGACTCGACTTGAAAGCATCGATCTGCTTCGTGGTGTTTTACGGCAGCGGCGCATTTTATCGCCGAGTGGCGTATTAACAAGCTGTGATTGGTCGTTACAATCTTGATGGTGGGAGACCACAATCACTCCCTCGTTGCACTCAAAGGAGAGGCCTGTTTCATCGCACAAAAACACAACACGCTCATCAATAACGCGGCCTTGAAAGAGAGAGAAAATACATGATAGGTGACGATGTGGATAATGGCGGAGACGACCATCAACTCACTCGTTACACTCAAAGGAGGCCTGTTTAATCGCAAAAAAATCCAACACGCTCATCAGTAACAGCCTTGGAAGAGAGAGAAAATACATGATAGGTGACAAATGTGTATGTAATGGCTCTTCTTCGTAGCACTCGTATCGAGAGAGGTCAGAAATGTCACCCGATTTATTCTACATTTGTTTATAGATTTTCCAATTTTTTTAAGCCGGTGTTGCCGACGAGTGCCAGCGCAGCATCGCCAAAATATTTTCTTGGAATCGCAGGCAGCGGCTGAAACTCGAATTCGAGACCGAGGCTGTTTGCGGTTCTGGCCCGGCACTCCGAGCTCCGAGCCCCAACCCCCAGGCGTGGCTAACGATGCCACAAATCGTCGTCGTGTTTTCGTTCACGCTGTCGCTCGTGTTTATTTTTGTGAAGTAACTCGCTCAGGACTTGAAACGTCGGAGCAGCAAGATTCATTCGGTTGCGTACTGAACGCCAAACCGTAAGCCAGTTGTCCTGCGCTCCTATTAAACTGGCAAGAGGGGTACACAGCCTGTGTATTGCGTCTATTCTGCACTGAGATTAAGTTTGCCGCATATCCTGACTTACCAGCACAATTCTGCACAGCTCATTTGCATACCATTAAGACTTGGATGTATAATAATAAAAACCCTATTGGGCTACGCGCACACACTCAACACTCTCCCACCCTTGGCGGTCTCATTAACCCTTTCTCGTTCCGTCTGCAAGTTTGCAGAGTGTGGTCCCGTTCACTGCTGAATCTCGGAACGCGGGCTCGGCTTACATTTTTTTAATCGAGATGCGTAGCGTCGTCGTTTTTAAAAGACGTTGTACTCAACCGCAGCGACGTGACCGCCGCACTCTACCATAGCAGCTGGCGCCAAACTGTGCCATGCCCTCCCAGCATGGCCTTGTCGGAGCCTCGGTACCGATATATATTCTTTTAGATTCCGTTGCGATGACTCACGTGCACGTACGTCATCGGAATGGTGAAAGGGTTAATACGCGGCGGCCGCTGTTTGCTTTGTCGGGATTTCGCCCCCTGGGCGACAAAACCCAATTTTTTTGTTATATTCGTGGCCGCGCGTTCAACGTTTTTTTTATCATCAACATCGAGAGCCGCTGCCGCATGCAGGCCTCCTGCCCTAACCCGCCGCCGTCGCCACCTCTCGCGATCCCGCGATGCGGCGGCAGGCCACCCAGCACCCGCTCGCACGACGAGCCGATCCCGCCATCGCTCCGTCTCCTCGGCGGACGTGAAACCCTCTGGAGCGCGGTTCCATCTGCCGCCGCCCCACCCCCTCCCCGACCGTCCGCCGCTCCTTTGCCATTCTTGTCGGTCGTCCCTCGTGGCCGCGACTCGTCCCCTGCCTGAGCCCCGCTCGGCGTTTCGTAACCGTTTTGGCTGAAGTCGGGCCGCTAATAAATTGGGCGCGTCGGCGACGTCGCCTGCGGGCGCGCCCAGCGAGCCTGGTCCCAGCGAGGGCGGCGTGCCAACCGTCGACGTGACGGATGGCGCCGCCGCGCGTGACGTTCATCCTCGGGCTCTCGCGTCACGGTCTCTTGCGCAAGAGAGCTGCCCCCGCCGCTTGCCAGCTCAATTTTTTGGAAGACTCCGACATTACCCGTTGCCGTGCGGACTGCCCTGTAAATATCGCCCCTCCACGTCGGAGTAATTGGTCCGTGAACTAATAGGCTGGCTGCTCCTTGCGTGTAAATCACGCCTGTTTTTTTTTTTATCTGCAGACTTTGTCTCCGCGAGTTGGATTAATGGCATTAAGTGGCAAATAGGCCTTCGTTCCCATTGCCTTTCTAGCCGTGCGCGAGACCCGGTTTACTCTTTGATGCAGTGCAAGTGCGCTAACGATTCGTTGATTGCGATCGATTCTTTGTGCTGGCGACGCGCGTGCCCGGCGCCGTGTGCCAGCAGGGGCGACGTTTTCGCTCGTCGAGAATTTGAACGGGACTGTGTTGCGGGGCGGGGGGGGGCGGGGAGGAGGGGTTTTTTGCGCTTGAACACCTCGCGGCGAGCGTTTGGTAACGAACGAAGCAGAGCGAATGAGGCTTAGGGGGTAAACAATGCAGGCGGTACGCAAGAGACCTGAGAGCGCCTTCGAGCGGGTGTGAAAGAGAGAGGGACGCACGGTACAGATGACACGGACAATGCACATGGGACTGGCAATGTGAGTTTTCCTCGCTCTATATGCGGGTTTCGTTTGTGAGATTTTGCAGTCGTGCACGCGGCCATCCTGTTACTCCCCGGCATTCGCTCTGCTATTGCGGTTTGGATTCGCTCTGCACGTGGCTACGCTGACGGACGTGGGGACAGCATTGTGTGCGCGCAGCTGTCTCGAGACGCAGAAGAAACGGGGAGGCTCATGGGTAGTGGGCGGGGGAAGTGAGTTGGCGCAACGAGCGCACGGAATGCATAGATACCCAAAAACTCTCGGCATCGCGTTCCGTAGCGCTAACGGGAATCGCTGGTTTCTCAACTTGACCAAGTGCCTAGTGGAAGGCGGCATGGACCAGAGAAACGCGTGTCTCCCGAGATACTAAACCTATTGTTGTGTATATTTACGTGCCTGTTTCTCTGTGTGCTTGTCTCTGTTTGCGTGTGTGTGCTGCGTGTCTGCGTGTGTGTGCGCGTGTTTGTTTAGATATGTCCAAGGTGCAAGACGACGAGGTTGGGGATGGAACCACCTCCGTGACTGTGCTGGCCGCTGAGCTGCTGAGGGTAAGAGCACCGGCGATGTCGCAGTGACGGCGATCCAGTGATTCGAATTAAATGAAACACATTCCTGCGGAGGGAGCTGGTAGGAACGTTGGGTTGCTCGGTCAATGGCCAGGGTCAACGGCGGCGTGGTGTATTCTGCAAATATGCCCGACTGTGAGGGCGGGCACAAGCCGGCGTGAGTAGGTTAAACTTTGAGTTTTATAAGGGCACCACGGGATGACCAGTCCCCTCCTCACCCAGCCCCACCCGCTCCACCCAGCCCCACCCTCCCCACCCAGCCCCTCCCCACCCTCCCCTCCCCAACCAGCCCCTCCCCACCCTCCCCACCTGGTGGAACCAGGTGGTTCCTACCAGTATAATAATTCATTTTCTTACACTCGTTTAACCAGGAGAGCCATACCGAGTCTCAAGGCTCTTTTTCAGGTGGGGCCTGCCAGTGCTTATGTTTACTTACCACACCAAGTACTCATTTAAGCCTGGGTCGACCTAGGGAAGGCCCAGGACCATTTCACTGGTGTTGGCCGTGAGTAGGAATCGAACCCAGGTTGCCGGGTTCATAGCGCGGCGCGCTAACCGCTGCACAACCGCTACCACCCACCCACAGACACACATAAGCGTGCGCGCGTACGCACAAACACTTGCAATAACCGGGTGACATTTGTGTACGGAATGAATCTGCGTTGAGTGGAATTGCATGCTAATTCGCACACACAAGTGCAAGGTCTCGTGACCGTTTATTATTCATTGTAATAACTTGTGGTGCAACGCACAAGTGGGTCCGTGCTTTGTGTGCGGGTTCGTTTGCGCGTTTCTTCTTAAAAGTAGCCGGGTGACGGCGAAATCGCCAACACTGCGCAAATGTTGCGGAGCGATATTTGCTAAATCTCTGACTCAACTGTACGGCGTCTTTACATGCAACCGCATTTAAATACACGTGTCGTGGAAGCTTAGACATAGACTTGCATAGAGACCCATCGACTCACAGAACCATGAGGTCGCATAGATACGCATTGACTTGCATTAAGATCCATCGACTCGCATTGAGACCCATTGACTCGCAGAAAAACTCAGACTCGCACCGACACCCATAGACTAATCACGGAGACCCATAGACTCGCACAGAGACCCATAGACTAATCAGAGATCCATAGACTCGCACCGACACCCATAGACTAATCACGGAGACCCATAGACTCGCACAGAGACCCATAGACTAATCAGAGATCTATAGACTCGCACAGAGACCCATAGACTAATCACAGAGACCCATAGACTCGCACAGAGACCCATAGACTCGCACAGAGACCCGTAGACTCGCACAGAGACCCATAGCCTCACACAGAGATCCATAGACTCGCACAGAGACCCATAGCCTCACACAGAGATCCATAGACTCGCACAGAGACCCGTAGACTCGCACAGAGACCCATAGACTAATCACAGAGATCCATAGACTCGCACAGAGACCCATAGACTAATCACAGAGATCCATAGACTCGCACAGAGACCCATATACTCGCAGAGCAACCTATGTGCAGCGTCTTGAGAGGCGGGTTGCTATCTCAATCGCTGCCGTTGATTGGCCCGACAGAACTATTGTTTCACTCCATCCCCGTTTTTGTGCCAAGTGTGCCATGGTCTCTCACGGTATATAATGCGTTGCTGGTGACGATTGCCCTAAAATTGCCCGAGTGGATCCATGGCCTCGAGCGTTCCAGATAGGGTGAGGCACAAACGAAGCGGTGGCGCCGCTGGGTGGGATGGGGTCGGGCCGGTTATTTGATCCGTACGGAGCTGCCAAAAGCTCTCTTGTCCTCTCGCGACCAAATGAGACATCGTCACAGGCTAATTCCCGTTTGTGAGCCGGTAATGGTCTTCGCCAAACAAGTCGGCGACCCAAAACAAACAAACGAGCACTCGCGGACGGACCGCGACACGCCCTCGCGCAAAATCACAGATGCTGCGTGCCCGGCATGTCGCGTTCTCGCCGCGTTGCTCGGCTACGGTGGAGACGAACGGAAGCCTTCGCCGCCTCTGTGCCCACGGTTGACGGCGTAATTGCCAAGGCCGCTCGCCAGTGGCGCTTTAATCACGAGTTTTGTTGCCCGTTGCGTAACCGCTGGGCACCCGGGCACGCTCTGTTTTGTTCTGGGGGCTGGCGGGGGTGTGTGGGGGGGTGGGGGAAAGGATTAATTAAAATGTTTCTTCGTGGAGGACTTTTCACGCACGCCGGGATCGGTCGCGCCTCGAGTTTTAGCGCTCTCTCGTCTCTCGAACGGGCTGGGATAATTGGTGATAAGGGAAGGTGTGAGGGGAGGGGGAGGGCGATGCTGCGGGTCGTGTGTGTAAGGTGCGGGACGTCGCAATTCGCTTTTACTGGCAGAGAGGGGGATGGACCTTGGAACGATTTGAGCGGTCTTGACGATCGCCGCTGCGGTGGTCTTTCGCCATTACACTCTTGTGTATCCCTCCGATGTGCTTTCGCGGTTGTGCCGTACGCTCGCCCTTGGGCACGATGTCCGACGTTTCGCTCCAGCCGCGGGGAGTCGTTTTTAGACGTCTCAAACTGTACTGCCATTGCATGGGAGGAGGTGGGGGGGGCGGCGGCCAGAGCCGTTGCCCCAACAATCGCCCAAGCTTTGTGGTCCTATATCGGTACGTCAGTGAGTGTCCGTACACGTGGCAGAGGAGTGCCTGGAGAAAAACCCGCGCGTGCCGAGGGTGGAGCGACGCTCGATTTCCTCCCCCCCCCCCCCCCACCGTCATTTTGTCTTTTTTTCTGCTTTTGCTTGCTCAGGAGGCGGAAATCCTCATCGCCAAGAAGATTCACCCGCAGACGATCATCACCGGGTGGAGGAAGTCGACCGCGGCGGCTGCGAAAGCCCTGGAGCTGGCGGCAGTGGACCACGGGTGAGCTGTCGGCACGCGGGGGGGGGCCATCTCTCTCTCTGTGTGTGGTTCCTTGGTTTTTTTCGTGGGCGGGGGGTGAGAACTCCCAAGACGACGCCAGGATGGAACGTCCGTTGCTCGGGTGACCTGGATCACCGAAATGTAGAGGTCGCAACCGGGTACCCGATACCCTACCCGATACCCGGCTACCCGTACCCGGCCGGGTACGGGTACGGGTAGGCCGTGAGTCACTGGTGAGTAACCGTTTGTCACTCATTTCGGGTAGGGTACGGGTAGGGAACGGGTACCCGTACCCGGCTGGGTACCCGACTGGGTACGGGTACCCATTTGCGACCCTGGTGCGGCCGGGTACGGGTAAGGAATCAAAACCCGTTTGCGACCTCTGCCGAAATGACAAGAGGCAGTCGGAATACAAGAAAAGCTTCTTGTTGCTGCCGCTGTTGTTGACAGTGCAGCGAGATAGAGAGCGGAGCAAAGTAACAACCGGAACAGAGGTCGCCTCAAAAGGAAACCGGCGTTACGGGGGGAGGGGGGCGGGGGGGGGGAGACGTTGACAACTGACGCTCAAACGTGCGCGAAGGATCGAGGAGTAGGTGGGGGGGTCCCCATTTGCTGCTCGGCTGACAGTGACAAAAGCCAAAGTACAGCAAGGAAGCAAATAGAAGTCGGGCCAAAAGCAATTTGCCGTTAAGGAGGAAAATACAAGGCCGCATAAGCACACATCAATATTCAATGAAGTGCTTATAATGTGACGTCAGCTTGGACAGGTCGCTTTTAAGCCCGTTGGTAGGACAGTTTAGTTTGAGAAACGTTGAAGTGAAACGAGGGTTATAATCGTTACAAGCGTGTGTAGCACAGACCATGAGTGAGCAGCTCATCTGTCCGGGTGGAGTTGTGGCACAGCGAACGGTCGCGCCAAATAATCACGACGAAGGAAGCCGTCGATCGTTGGCCCACGGCGACCTCTTGACCCCTGGCCGCCCTCGGCGTCCCGTCCGGCAGGCACGACAAGGAGAAGTTCCACTTGGACCTGCTGAACATCTCGCGCACCACCCTCTCCTCCAAGCTGCTGACGCACCACAAGGACCACTTCGCCAAGCTCGCCGTGGAGGCCGTGCTGCGCCTGCGCGGAAAGGGCTCGCTCGAGGCCATCCACGTCATCAAGAAGCTGGGCAGCACCCTTCTCGACTCGTACCTCGACGAAGGTACGGCGGCTACGCCCGGCGCCTCCGATTATACACTGGTCAACAAGAAAAACATCTTCTTGGTTCTTTCGGTAAAGTAACGTAGAATGGAACGCAAGCAGCCGTCCTCAGGTGAAGAACAGGTCTGTCGAAAAGACAGGACAGAGTCTGTCTTCTCGACAGACCGGAACGGCTACACCTGGCGCCTCCGATTAAACTGGTCAACAAAAAAAAAACATCTTCTTGGTTCTTTCGGTAAAGTAACGTAGAATGGAACGCAAGCAGCCGTCCTCAGGTGAAGAACAGGTCTGTCGAAAAGACAGGACAGAGTCTGTCTTCTCGACAGACCGGAACGGCTACACCTGGCGCCTCCGATTAAACTGGTCAACAAAAAAAAACATCTTCTTGGTTCTTTCGGTAAAGTAACGTAGAATGGAACGCAAGCAGCCGTCCTCAGGTGAAGAACAGGTCTGTCGAAAAGACAGAGGACAGAGTCTGTCTTCTCGACAGACCTGTTCTTCACCTGCAGCTGTTCTAGACTAATTTCAGGGTGCCAATTCCAAATGTGATCTCAGATTTGCTTTATCACATCTCATTTTGATGCTATCGGCATACCCCATTTTCATTGATTTTACCCGAAATTAACTCTGTCACTTATGATTGCAAGTTGTTGCGAGTCAGTGACTGCTTTCGTGTTAAAATATGGCGCTGTATTTTTAGGATAGTGTGTTTATAATATCATTTTATGTAGATATCTACATTTATTTAATGTTTTTCTTCTGCAGTTTTGATTGAAAATGCAATATTTGATATCTCAAAAACCTGATGTGATAGACAAAAACTGATGCCAGTTTAAAAACCGTTGGAATACCTTGTGGCAGAAAAAGTGTGTTGACCAGTGTTAGCACGGTTGGTTCTACGTACGTCCGTCAGTCGTCGCATCCGCTCTGCCTCTTTGGCCTTTCTGTTTGACGTGATCAAGGGCCATTTGCCCGCTATGGTTTTCTTCACTAATTTTCAGAGAGAGGGGGGCCCACTTTCGCCGATAAGACCTCACCGGTGTGAGGGCCGCCACACCGCCTTCAAGGGGCGTCTCCCCATCTGCGTATTGCTGGCGGGCAGCACGTCAGGGGCCGCCAGTGGTCCCGTGGGCTTTGCAAAGAAGAGCACTGACCTATTGTATGCTTAATTATTTTCAAGGACACACACACACAAAGTGTTATTTTACGGGCGTGTTGAGTTGTTAATTGTGCACCACTGCCAACGCAGCAGCAGCAGCATCGCCAGATCACTTTGTTTAATCACAGGCGGCTCTAAACCCGATATTCACACCCCAGCATCTCTGACCTCCGGACCGCGCGGCCTCCTCTCTGGTCCGTAGCGTTGCCCATCGTCACGTTGTGATCTCGTCGCCCCGCTGCACTTTCAGGCTTCCTGTTGGACAAGAAAATCGGCGTCAACCAGCCGAAGAGGATCGAGAACGCCAAGATCCTCATTGCCAACACGTCCATGGACGCCGACAAAATCAAGGTGAGCACTCTCTCCCGCCGCCGTCCGACGACTCCCGCCCGGAGATTTCGAAGAGCGCGGCCGTCAAGTTTGACGGCCGTGAAGTTTGACGGCCAGTGCGCGAGGCCAGCGGCGTTCCTCAGAGGTCACAACCGGGTACCCGATACCCGTACCCTACCCGATACCCGGCTACCCATACCCGGCCGGGTACGGGTAGCCGCACGTGACTCACCCCAATCAATGAGTGAGAAGGCCGTGAGTCACTAGTGAGTAACCGACCCGGCCGGGTACGGGTAGCCGTTTGCGACCCTGATGCGGCCGGGTAAGGGTAAGGAATCAAAACCCGTTTGCGACCTCTGGCGTTCCCCCACCGCGTACCCTCCCCCCCACCGCGCGCGATTGACTTGAGCGCCGAGGTTGTCGCAGCGGACGTTACGTTTCGTGATTGACGATTGGGTTCGGACGCGTAGTTCGTTATCCGGGCAAACTCGCGTCGTGAAAAGAGACCTCCGCCACCCGACGCGGCCGTGCAAACGAAGGCGTCACGGCGTTGTAATGGCAACGCGACCCGCCGTTGCCGTTTCGGCTCGACAATGCTTCTCAAGATTTATTCCGCAATTGGAAGCAAACGCGTGAGAATAGGTTTTTCCCCCTTTTTTTCTGGCAACTAAACAGGTGTTAAGATGTTTAAACGCCGATCTGGGGAAAATCTATTCTCATATTTTTGTACTGGCAAAGGGAGGTCCCATGATGGAAGCAATGAAACTACGTCAAGCGTCATCGGGAAATGAGCCGGATTTTATTCTGTTGATGCCTTTGGGGGTCTGTGTGTAAGTCTGTTGGCTCTCCTATAGAATTTTTATTGGAGATTGCGTTTTGAGTTTTTGGGTCCTCTGTAAGCCTAGGGATCTCGGTCAATCCGTCCGTGCATGTGTTGCTTCCTGCACATTTATCTTGTGTTCAACTGTCAACCAGACTGTTTCATCTCAACCACACTGTTCAACCACCACACTGTAGGCCACAACAAACACACTCAACCAATCACACACTCGCCCACTCACCCGCACATAAAATCACCCATCCACTCACTCGCCCACCGACTCCCTCGCCGCAACACTGCTTTGCTTCTCTCATGCTGCTCCACTGTGGAATTCCCTCCTCCCACCACCATCATCATCATCTCTCTTCCCCCAAACCCATAAGAACAACACAAATCAAGAAACTCGTTACGCTCTCTGCTATTGCAACATTGACGGCGCTGTTTGATGCAGGACCCTTCGTGATTTGGGCTTTTGCTCAGCAACTGTGTTGAGTAAGTCACAGAAACCAACCCCAGAATTGTGGCCCTCTTAATGGCCCATCTTTGCCGGCTTGTTTGAACACACCAGCTGTTGACAAGCCACTCGCACGTTGAACGTTCATCTCCCCGCTGTTTCAGCACGGGTGCCGTTATTATATTCAGCGGCGCTATCGAACGGAAACAGCTGATCCCGTAGTCCCGGCGGCCATGTTCCGACCGATTAATTCAATCCTCGTTTAATCGTTAATGCGGTTAATATACTTAGCGACGCATTGGGAGTGGTGGCAGTGTGTCGCGCCCGCATTGTACGGAGACCACGAGCCTTTTGTTTGTAATTATAGGATGAAGGGCCTTAAACGGGCGCTTATTCGCAGAGAGTCGTGCGCGAGCACTGGCAATTAGGGGAATGCAAGTTTTAGGTCAAATATATTTTGTATTAAATGATAAAAAAAGAAACGATTGTTTCTTATTCATCTGGTAATTACTTGTCTCCCAATTAATTAGATTTTTGTTCAAATAAGTGGCAGTACGCTCGGTTAAGAATTGGTCTGTCGGACCGCCAGGCTGGCTATAAAAGCGTTTTGCGTCCTTTGCGGGAGAACTAATCTCAGCATGATAAAAACAAAAGCACGATTCATTTATAGATACCTCACTGATTCTGATGACACACTTTCAATTCCTTAGGAACAGCCGTTGACTATTGTGCAAGCGATGGCCTCGTTTTTCTTACGGAGGAGAGAGCGCCGAAAGGTTTAATGCGTGCGTTGAGATTGGTGGGACTCGTATCGAGGCTTTTAAATCCGACAATTTAAACTGTAATATTCCATCCCTGTTAGCGTAGTGGGGCGTCTGTAAATGGATCACCCTGAATTTAATCAAATTCAATGCGTTCAGGAAGCACTTAGTGAGGTTTCAAGTTGAAATAAGCTGCACGTGACAGACTCCTTCCAATCGCAAACGGCTACCGTAAAACAAAAGCTGCCGTAAAATTGAAGAGCTCTGCATCATCGGTGGCCAGGTTGTCGCCTGATGATGCTGGTTGCAATTACTGGCGAATCGTCAAAATGTTGTGGGTTTACTCTCCAGCACACGCATGTGCGCTGGGGTAGTAACTAATTGGCACGCTTTGTTTACATGACGCACCTTATCGATTGATTGGCTGTGGCGGGTAACCGACACATTTAGATTGGCGTGATCCAACCCAACAAAACCAAAAAAACTTTATTATGGGTAAAATTGGTCTCGAAAGCCTGCACGTTTTACAGACGTTCGTCAATAACGCTGTGGCCTTGAGAAGAATGAAGTATATAATAGGTGACTGTGGACAATGAGTCCCTCTTCACAGCACGTAGTCCAGGGAGGTAAAGTGAAAATGGACAGACAGCCAGACCAGACCATGGGCATGCCGATGGACAAACAAACAGATGGACAGATGTACGATGAACTGTACGTCTGTATATTGAACTTATTTCAGCACTGTACATAGCCAACCGTGCTCATCGCAGGTACGGGCGGGGGAAGGACAACAAACCGAACGCAAAAAGCATTTCTAAAGAAATGAGTTATCAAGACGGACATAGACAGATATGGACACATCTGGACATAGACATAGACGAAATCAGACTTTGCGATCCCTCCCCGTGGATTGCGAGTGGGAGCCGTCCTACATCGGGACCAGGCTGCCGGCCTGCGTCGCGTGGCCTGGTCCAAGCGAGCGCCGCATGCGCCCCCCCCCCCCTCTGCCGCCCCCCCCACCCACACCCCCTCTCTCCCCATCTCGCGTTTGCGCCCCCCGCAGATTTTCGGCTCGCGCGTGCGGGTGGACTCCAACGCCAAGGTGGCGGAGATCGAGCTGGCGGAGAAGGACAAGATGAAGGACAAGGTGGAGCGGATTCTCAAGCACGGCATCAACTGCTTCATCAACAGGCAAGGCCGCTTATTGCCATCGTGCATCATCGCCGTCGGCCGTCATCAAATCAACTGCTGGATTAAGCCCCCCTCTCCCTTCCCGCAAACCACCGTCGCTTCCCACGATGCAGCAATCCTCCAAGCGCAGGCGCAGGAGCTGATGCTCGTCCCTCCATCTCCCGGGAGACGTCCTCCCTGACGCGCTCCATTCCTTTGCTGCCATTCCGTCGCAATGCTTGCCCCTTCGTCCATCATCGTCGCTTCCCGCAGCGACGCCTCCCGCACGAGCCCCCACTCTCGCTTAACAGTTGGGTTCGATGTCGTCAAGCCGAGTGCCTTCTCCAATCCGCGTGTTCCTCTTCGTGCGTCTCAATGCGATTCCGAGGCTGCATCCCTCTCCCAACACAAATTACTAATCAAATTGTTTCGCTTTGCAACGGAGGTTGAAAGTGATAATGCGTTCGATCTGTCTGTCTGTTCATCCAACTGTCCTTCTGTTGCGTGCCGGTCCGTCTGCATTCTTGTTATTAGCCTTTACTTTCTGTATCACTCACCCGTTCATTAATCCCCTTGCACAACCCCCGTGTGGGAATATGGATCGTGCCCTTCAGCTAATATAATGCACTCTTGGCTGTTGCTCTCTCTCTCTCTCTCTCGTGTTATCACTGACCGGCTGCCTGGAGCCAGCACTAGAGCAGCGAGTGTCATGTTATTGATTTATTTAAGTGAAATTCGGATTTGGGTAGAGCGGTGGTGCAGTGGCTTCCAACGGCCAGCGCACTCCTTACAGATAGAGTCAAGAATCCAGTTGGATGTGTCGGAAGTATGCAAGCACCGGATGAATTGATGCGACGTTTAAACGATTCTAAACGATCTCTACATCTGGGCGCACACATGAAAGAAGAATCTCCCACTCAAGTGTGGACTTTCCTGGGTAAATAAGCATAGTGTGCCTGCTTAGCCGTGCCAGCTACAGGGCCGTCTCTCTTCCTCCAGCACCCGCTGACACCGAACGCACGCGCTGCACTCCACATCCCTTCCCTCTGCTCACGGGAAAACTCAAACGTGCAAATGTTCCGTGCGCACGCACACACGTGCTAGAGGGAGAGACGGAGAGCTCCCATAAATAAGGCGTTGAAACGCTGAGCCAGTCGATGCATTCCATGAGCGCGGTTCTGGAATCCAGCGCTATGGAGGCAGCGAGAGGTTGGCGGATCACGAGTGTGGGATCCGTTACACAAGGGGGGGGGGGTTGCGTCTCGTGTATAAACATTGATTCGTTCCATTGGAACCTCATTTGCCAGTAAAAAATATGATAACTGGTTTTTTACCCTTCTATCTGGCAACAAAACTGAGACCTTTTTTACAAGGAGTCATGTTTGCATAGACCACAATACCTGCAGTCGTAATGCCTTTTGGCGTCATCTGGTCCAACCCATGTGAAACTAGGCTCTAAGGAAAGCTGTCTCGTGTGTGGACCAATCAATTTCAAGGACAGTGCATACATTATCAGAGTTATGTTTTTTGTTTGCATTATGACTGCAGGTATTGTGGTCTATGCAAACATGACTCGTTGTAAAAAAAAAGGTCTCAGTTTTGTTGCCAGATAGAAGGGTAAAAAAAAAAACAATTATCACTGATTCGTTCGTTGAGTTGACCAAACATCCCCAATGTAGGACCGCAGACCTTTGGCAATTGCTGGTGTCCATTCTAGCTGCCCTTCGCGCTTGTCTGGTTTCCCGCACCCCTGGATAGATTTCTCCCTCTCGCTCTGAGAGTGAGATGAGAGGGAGGAGAGTGCGTGGAGGGGAGTAGAGATGAATAGGGAGATGTAGGAGGGGGCTAGAGTGAGATGAAGAGAGGGGGGAGGCACGTGCAAGTCCACGGAGGATCTTCACAACGGTGAAGTGCGATCTTGAAATAGATCTGGGACTGAATTGGGACCGAGTCTGTGCAGGAAACGGACCATTGGGGAATGAGCCTTTAAAGTTAACAAGTCTCTCCTCGGTGCTGTGCAGGGAACACTGCGCTGTGTTTGCCAAATTAGTGGAGCCCGTTGCATTGTGCGTCTTGTATCACATACGCTGCGCGGCTTAAATGTAGGTCGTCATCGTGAAGTCTGGAACGCTTGAGTTTCTCTGCATCTGCTCTCTCTCTCTCTCTCTGGTTCATGCCTTTGAATCACCGCCATGAGTATTTTGCGCGCACTATAAATGGTTCACGTTTGGAATATTCGGAGCCGACGGTGAAGGCGATGAATCAGTTACATTATTAAGGAGCCCGAATGGATATAATATCGTGCGGCGGAGAATTAATTGACCGGTTGCGTATCCCTTGATTTTTTATATATATTTTTTTTAAATCCACGCGTGCAAGTCAGTCCTGCTTGCACTTCCCTCCTGCCGTGGCTCCTGTTCCAACCACGTTGAGAACCCGGGCCTCCAGCAGAGACCGTCAGTTCTGTCTCAGCCACCACACTCTGTTCAACCACCACCACCACAACACTTCAGCTCGCAACAACACTCTCACACTCGCCCACCCATTCACCTGCTCATTCACCCACCCACTCATTCTTCACCCATCCATCCACCCACTCATTCACCCACTCATTCATCCACCCACTCATTCACCCACTCATTCACCCACTCATTCATCCACTCATTCACCCACTCATTCACCCACTCATTCACCCACTCATCCACCCACTCATTCACCCACTCATCCACCCACCCATCCACCCACTCATTCACCCACTCATCCATCTACCCACTCATTCATCCACTGATTCACCCACTCATTCACCCACTCATCTATCCACCCACTCATCCACCCACTCATTCACCCACTCATTCACCCACTCACCCACCCACCCATTCATCCTCCCAATCACTCACCACAATGCTGATCCACCTCACTTCTCCTTCTGCTTCTTCCCTTGCACGGCTCCACTCTGTACTGCCCGCCCATCATCTCGCTTGGCTCGGGGGGGGGGGGGGGGGAGACCTTCATCCAGCAGTCAGTGGATATATCACGGCCGATGGGTAATGAGTGATACCAGAGCAACGTCCGCGGTGACGCCGTGTGTGCCCATCGTACCGAAGATCGTCGGCCACGATCAGTCCACTGTTTGATGTGAAGTTCTCCCCAACTCCGCCACCAACTCTCGCAATCCTGCGATCGAAGCGTCCGCCCGGCGCCTGCACACAAACTGATTTTCACCCGTTCAACTGGTACAAAAACTGACACCTTTATACAAGGCATCATGTTTGCAATAACCACAACACAAGCAGTCAAAATGCAAACAAAAGGAAACAATTATGATAATGATATGCACTGTCCTTGAAGTTGATTGGTCCACACCCGAGACAGCTTTTCTTAGAGCCTAGTCTCCATTGGTGTTGGACCAGATGACGCCAAAAGGCGTACAACTCAAACACAGTGCACTATCAGAGTATTGAGAGCTCGGGGTAAACATTTACACTATGAGACCTCCTTTACCAGTGGCAAAATATAGTAATAGGTTTTTACCCTTTCAACTGGTACAAAAACTGACACCTTTATACAAGGCATCATGTTTGCAATAACCACAACACAAGCAGTTTGTACCAGTTGAAAGGGTAAAAACCTATTACTATATTTTGCCACTGGTAAAGGAGATGTCTCATAGTGAGTTTCACCTCTCTGTCTCCTCCGCGGTTGGGCGTCCCCTCGGACGCGTTCCGTTCCTTGGCCGCCGCTCCGATCTCGGTCTCGACCGTCATCGTTCCATCGTCCCTCGTCGTTCCATCGTCCCTCGTGGCCGTGACGCGTCTCGCCTAATCCCAACCCCCGTTTACCGTTCTCAATGGCCAGGTTGGGTATGGTGTCACGAGCCTTCGCGTGTTCTCTAATCGACACGTCCCCCCCCCCACCTCTCTCCGAGTCACCGCGTGATTGCACCCGTGAGCGTGCCGGACACCCAAAACCACAAAACGGAAGAACCCGGTCGCTGCAAGTTCAGAAATCTCACAAATCTCACAAATCGCAACTCGCCCAAATGCAATCCGGGCGCTTGCCTAGCCGGCCTCGTGCAGTCTGCAAGGCCGGCGCTCGCGTACAGTGTCCCACGGTGCCAGTGAGACGAGGAGGAGGAGGAGGGGGGGAGGGGGGGGTTGGGGAGGCTCTTTCATTTTCCGCTCCAGCAACCCCAGCGTCCAGAGCGCGAGCCTCTTAAGGCACGGAGCCGCGACGTGATGTAGATTATTTAAAAATGATTCCCTGCCGCCCGCCCATCCACTCACTTCCTTCCGCAACCAATCCCGTTGGGGGCGTTCTGATGGAAATATGGAAACTAGCGGGGGGCGGGCGCGAGGTGGGGCGCGGTGGGTGTGGAAGAGCGGATGCGCGCGTAGTCGATGTGCGGACGAGTGCGGGTGGATGCACGTTACCAGCGCTCGGCACAAACATTCAAACTCGACGCATTTCTTCAGGAACACTGTTGCCGTCAACGGAAAGAATGTCTAATCGGTGACGTCTCGGGAAATGTCCCTTCTTCACAGCACAACTTGCGCCATAGCACGCAAATATAAAATAGGACCGTTGCCCACAATGTCGCCTATTACGTAGATATTTATATTTTCCGTTTCATGGATTTATTTTATTTTATTCGTGTGCTCCTTGACCAATACCGCGAACGGTAAAGGCGCAGCCCTGCAATCGCTTGCTCACACCGCTGCTGCTGGTGGAACGAAAGTTTGTTCGAGGGCGAGGTGCGTCATGGAGAAGGGCTAACGGTGATGGCTGGCGGTCGATTTTGTTACGTGGAGTCGCGGCCAAAGGAGGGGGGCGGGTCCGCCGCAGAGATGGAGCCGGTGCCGAGCGGATTGTGTCGTCACGAGACTGCGAGAGGTGGCAGGTGTTCAGGGTCACGGTCTTCTCGCCGTCCTCCGGTACTCGGAGGATTGAGAGGAATCTGCTTTTTTATGTCGTCATAGAATGCCAAGACCGCACCTCCGGTTAGCACGGTTGTCTTTCGTACTGTGCGAAAGAAGTTTAACGTACAGACAAGGCATTGTATTGTGAGCTTTTTGTTTGTTATATATTCTCTAGGATTCAACAATATTCTGGCAAAATAATTACTTTTACAGGAGCACAAACTCTGAAGTTAGAGCGATCTTAAAAGTTCCGAGTCGTCTGTATTTGCGGTGTCACCGTCGCTCATCAAACGTCTTCCGAGCTTCTTCTTCCGCCGTCTCAATGCAATGGTTTTGGTTTTTACACGAAAAATCCCTTTTACCCAGTTAGCCCGCTAGTCACGTTGGCAGCGGCCCGCAGCAACCACTCGCAACAGAGTCGGCGTTGGGGTGGTGGTGATGGTGGCGGTGTGGTGCTCATGTGGTGGTGGTGGTGGTGATGGGGGTGTGGTGCTAATGTGGTGGTGGTGGTGATGGTGGTGGTGTGGTGCTAATGTGGTGGTGGGGGTGGTGGTGATGGTGGCGGTGTGGTGCTAATGTGGTGGTGGTGGTGATGGTGGTGGTGTGGTGCTAATGGGGTGGTGGTGGTGGTGATGGGGGTGTGGTGTTAATGTGGTGGTGGTGATGGGGGTGTGGTGTTAATGTGGTGGTGGTGGTGATGGTGGTGATTGTTGCGGTGTGGTGCTAATGTGGTAGTGGTGGTGATGGGGGTGTGGTGCTAATGTGGTGGTGGTGGTGATAGGTGTGTGGTGGTGGTGGAGATGTGGTGCTAATGTGGTGGTTGTGGTGCTAACATAGTGACGGAGATGTTAGAAACTCGAGGCGTTAGATTATTTTTAATCGTCCGATTTGTTTAAAAAAAAATTTACACCCCGCGGCTTGTGTTTCCCTTCCTCCAGGCAACTCATCTACAACTACCCCGAGCAGCTGTTCGCCGACGCAGGGGTCATGGCCATTGAGCACGCAGACTTCGAGGGTGTGGAACGGCTGGCTCTCGTCACAGGTAAAGCCCCTTTGCGTCTAAGCGGGGAGCGTTCCTCTTGTCCGTCGTGGTGGGGCAGGAGCCAATCGGTGGTACGGTGGCTCCCCGATAGGAGGAGGTGCCCAAACTCCGTACGTGACTTTAAGGCACTGGTGGAAATTCCACATTGCCACGGTCGGTGCCAGTTGTTTGCTCTCCTGTACACGGCGTGTTGCCGATGCCGGGAAGGCCTTCATCCAGCTGTGGAAGAGTTGGAGGAAAAAAATATCCTCTCGAGATTTTCCCCCTCTCTCTTGCCTGCTCGCAAACAGCGCTTGCCCCCCCCCCCACTTCAGGCTACGCGGGGGACCTTTGTCTTTGTTGTGGCGCTGGGCGCGAGCCGTTCTGTATTCCGCGCGGATACGACGGAGTGCGAGAGTCACGCGCCCTTGAAGCCAAATGTCAGGCCCGTCGAGGGACGGTTTTTCAGGCGGAGATGTCCCCCGATAAAAAGTTTCAAACGCTCGTCGGCGGCGGCGGTGCTGATAGGGAGGGCGGGCGGGCGGCGGCTTGCGTTGCCGTGCAACCGAGCGAAAGCGTTTTGTGTGCGTCGGGGGTATTTTTTTTTGTCTACAGAGCCGATCGGTTGTTCACGGGTCCAGCGTGACCCGGCGGGAGAGTGCGTGGGTAAATGAGCGAGCGAGCAAACGAGCGAGCGAAGAGTGGCTCGTGATGGGAAGTTTGAGGATCCGAGTCCTGGTTGACTCGGTCAATCGCCCGTCCGGGGGTTGATAAAATAGCAGCGGGTTAGGTCGATGGGGAGACTCAGCAATGTGGAATTTCCACCGCTGTGCTCACGGCTGTGGACAAGGTAAAGCGCACGATGCCTCAATGCTCATTTCAGCAGCAGCTTAATTTTGACTGGTAAAAAGAGCGTTCTTTTTATCATTCGCATAGCGGTGGCGCTTTGCGCGGGCAATTGCAGGGCTGCGCCTTGTACTCTGAAAGCCGCACGGCAAACGCAAAATAAGTGGCGGTGTTTTTCCGTGCGTGCTGTGGCGTTACGTAAGGTGCGCGTCTGACCCTCTCCCCTTGTGGGAGGTGGTTGTGCAGTGGGGGGGGGGTGCGAAGGGCAGGGGGGGGGAGGGATCGAGCGTCTGGCTGCCACACGGAGCGACGCGTTTCACTAAAGCTCACGGTCGCTGTTGGCGCTCGCCCGAGTCCGGAGTGTCGCGTCGTCGTGCCGGGTCACCTTGCCCACGCGCCAGACGCCAGCGCCAACGGCCACGCGCCAGGTTTGCCGTTGTTTAACCGGCTCGCCAAATTACTTTCAAAGAGTCACGGTGACTTTGCCCGCGAATCGGCATTCAAGGCGCCGCTCGGCACCCATTTCGAGCCCTGAGCAGCCGGCGTTGGAAATTCCACTTTCCGTCGACCTCAGAACGGAGGGCTGAAGGACCGAGTGAACCACTTAACACTCCCCCAACCATTAATTGAACTCGCAACCTTCCAATTGCGAGCCACCCTGGCCGTATTTAACTGAGCACGGCTTAAAAGACGGTCCCATCCAGTTTGGCCGTTGAGAGTGTTTGACCTTTACAAGGACTCAGCTTCTCCGTTAGTCCAGCTCCACTCACAAGGCCTCAACCACCCGGCGCTCCGCTCGTTGTTGTGAGCGTCGCTCCTCCGCCCTCCGTTGTTGTTGGAGGGCGACTGCCTCCAACTGCCCAGTAGCGTCCTTCACGAGCCTCCTCCACAGAGGCCGATCTTGACACCGCTGGTACCAGTCATCGGCAAGTCCACTCAGCTCCACATCCTCCTGTACCACATCACTCCATCTCTTCTCTAGCCCGTGCCGCGCCCATTTAGCCCCCTCGATCCGCCAGAACAAAAGCTGTTTTAGGCATGCGGTGGCTGGGCATGCGGGCTACATGACCCAGCCAACGCAGCCTTGCCTGCCGGAGGAGTTCACCGATGGGACTTTGCCTGATAGCCCAGCTCCACTCACAAGGACTCAACTACTCCGGTAGCCCAGTTCTAATCGCGAGTGCTGTCCGCTGTCCGCAGGAGGAGAGATCTGCAGCACGTTCGACCACCCCGAGTTGGTGAAGCTGGGCGAGTGCAAGCTCATCGAGGAGGTGATGATCGGAGAGGACAAGCTGCTCCACTTCTCCGGCGTGCAGATGGGTGAGGCATGTGGGGCTGTGGTGCCAATATGGCGATGGTGTGGTGCTAATGTGGTGGTCATGGTGGGGGCGTGGTGCTAATGTGGCGGTGGGAGCGTGGTGCCAATATGGCCGCGGTGATGTTGGTAGAAATGCGACGGTGCCGCTGATAATATTGAGGTGGTAGCGATGTCGCGGTGGTGGTGCGGTGATGATGTATGTTCACCGGTGGTGGCAGTGGCGATTTGGCGGTGGTACATTTGCGTACGTAGGGGAGTCGGGCAATGCTCACGTGCACCACTTTCTTAGGTGTGTGTGTGTGCGAGTAGTGCAGTGCTCACCCACCACCACCACCGCCCCGCCCCCCCCCCGTGTGTGCGGTGTCTCGGCGAGTAGGGGAGGCGTGCACAGTGGTGCTGCGTGGTGCCACCCAGCAGATCCTGGACGAGGCGGAGCGCTCACTGCACGATGCGCTCTGCGTGCTCTACCAGATGGTGAAGGACACCAAGACGGTCTACGGCGGAGGTGACGCACCGCTACCGTGACATGCCTCGACCCGGGGAGTCTGATGGCTCCTCCTCAGGAGGGTCCTGCCGAGTGCTTCGCGATAGCGGAGGGGTGACGTTGCTGCTGCTGCTGCTGCGTGTGGTCCCAGTTGTTACATTTGTGTTGTAATCCTTCAGCTTCGATATGTTTCGGCCAAAGCCCGTTACATTGTTCTGGCCTTAAATAGCTGTGCAGTCACCGGTGACTGGGCCGACAACTTCAACTCGCTTACCCTCGAGAAATTCCTGCTTGGATCGCAGGCAGTGGCCCGAACCCGGATTCGAACCCCGGTTGGCTGCGGGAGCGATCACAGATTTTAGTTTTTTTAATGGCACGACACGTGACGTCCTTGGGAACGTGTCAACAGATCGTGCCAAATGAGATCCCGAAATAAATGGCCCCGTTATTCAAACGAATGTGTTTCGCGGCGGTAATTAAAGCAGCAGCACTCGCAAGATTTTTTTTTCTCGCGTGCCCTACTTTGGTTTCTCCACACACACAATGCCAATTAAATTTTTACCGTTTTTTTGTTAATTCATCACCTGGCTGAGTATACGCGCCGCGTTTTAACGAATACACGCATTTCGTGTTTTTTCATCTCTATTTATTTTATATGTAGAACACGGGGCCCTAGTTTCAAACGGCTTGGTGCCACTTTTTTTTTTATTACCTTTCATGAAGGTGGCAAATCCAAAACGTTCTGTTCATTTAAATTGGGGTGTCAAGTCCGTTGGTTGCGCGCTACCCTCGGAGGAGGTGTTGCTGCAGGGATTTGATCGTCGTGGTGGGTCGTTTGTCCCGAGTTCTCTCCGCACGTGGCAGCACCCTCCTCAAAAAGCGGGGAGTCTTGAGACTCGGCGACGCATTCCTGGATCAAAGATGTCATTTATGATGCTGGCAATGCAATTTGTAATGCGCACGATGTTACGCAGACGTATATTCGACGAATATACGACGAGGGATATGCTCCCCGTTTTTGGACTAGTCTGCAAAATCAGAAAATTGGGCCTCGATGTGAAATGTTGGGTGATCTGAGAATCTTCTTGGTTCTTTCGGTAAAGTCACGTAGAAGGGAAGTAATAAAATAATAAAATTAAAACATAATAAAATACAATTCTCACGACGTTTCGGCCACAACGCAAGCAGCCGTCCTCACCTGAGGATCCCTGCAGTCACGAAAGCTTTAAATCGAAATTTGATCTGAGAATGTTTCGTTTCGGATTCATCCCAATAGTGAGCTCACCGTAAGTGACGTCGCTTGCGTTCCGTCACGGTCATTGGTGTGTCGTGGATGTAGTGCCACAGGAAGTGACGTCACTGGTGTAAGTGGCATCGCGCGTGGCACCGGGTGACGTAATGTTAAATGTCCTCACATCCGACAGTCATTAACGCTTTAGTCAATAACGCGTTGGCCTTGAAGTGAAAGAGTTTATGATCGGTGATGTTTAGCGCAATGGCCCTTCTTCACATGGCATACATAAGTCTAGTGAAATCGCCAATTAATATCGAGCAAATCCAAAATCAGAAATGTTTACGTTCCTTTATCACCGCCAATACACACTGCACAATAGCCGACCATCTTCTTGGTTCTTTCGGTAAAGTCACGTAGAAGGGGAATAATAAATAATAAATAATTTACATAATAAAATACAATTCTCACGACGTTTCGGCCACAACGCAAGCAGCCGTCGTCCTCAGGTGAAGAACAGGTCTGTCGGAAAGACAGTCTGAATTTATTATGTTTAATTTTTATCATTTTATTATTTCCCTTCTACGTGACTTTACCGAAAGAACCAAGAAGATGAATCCCTGCAGTCACGAAAGCTTTAAATCGAAATAGCCGACCAGGTTATGAATGTGTTATTCATGCGATAATAATGGCGTCGGTACACGTACACAAGACAAAGATCCCCCCTATAGCCTTAACAGGCTCTTGGGGCAAGTGCCGTTAGCGAACGTCTAAGAAGGCCAGCACGGCATACAAGGGGGTGGGTGGCCAGCACCACGCCTGCCCACCTTTGCCTCCCATGTGACGATGTTTACACACCGCACCAGGTATTCATTTGAGGCCGAGTCAATCTAGGGGAGAACCAGGACCGGTTCGGATAATCGTCCGCCGGCATTGGCCGTGAGCGGTGGTCGAACTCGGGTCGCCGGGTTTTTGTAGCACTGCGTGCTAACCGAGGCCGCCACCTCTCCTCGCAGACAGACACGCATACATGTGCACACGCAGGAGCATTGTAGACCTTGAAAACCGCTCGTTGGCTTGTGTCTGTCGCCATCCAGTGGCAGAACGTGTTCACTGCATGTGTGCACGGCTGTCTGCTGCGGGTTTGTGTCGGCTTTGGGGAAAACGTTCGTGCAAAGTGTACACTGGCTGATGGGTGCCAACGATGATTGGAGAACCGACTGGCTACGTAATTGCTCTGCCCGGGCAAAATTATGTTCGTCTGTGTGTCTTTCTCACCGCGTCGTGTCAATCTGTCCGTGTGTTCATCTCTGCAGTATCCGGAACAGCGTTGGGGGTTTTCATTTCTCTTCGGTTCTTTCGGTAAAGTCACGTATAAAGAGAAAATAATAAATTAAATAATTGCGCACGACGTTTCGATTGCAACACAAGCAATCATCATCAGGTATAAATGAAAGAGAAAAAAACCTAGTAAACTTAGAAATATAATGCAATACAACACAGAGAGTCAGCTAACATTACAGTCAAACACCCTGCCTGGTTGATTATTTCCACTGGCCAAAGCAGTGCTTGTAAATGTGGAGATCACGAGGGTTGGTGGATTACCGCACAGATGTCGCGAAACTCCCTTCCCGTGGGGTGGCAAGGAGGAGCCTTCTCCCTGGCGGGTCAGCAAAAATGTTGACTCCACCTCTCCAGTCTGTGTGGGATAGAGTGTTTCCCCCTCGCACGCACGGGTTTTAATTGGCCGATAACATGTTAATATATATAGAGGAACGCAGAGCTCGGGCAATTGCTGGTAGTGCCGGCTCCTCGCTGCGTGGCTGCTACCTTCCCGCTCCTCGTCTGTGGCTCCTCTCTCGATGAGCAAACACACTGTGCAGCAGCGGGGTCACGTTACAAGTTGACATCGTTGTTGTTGTCGTTATTAAATATCGTTATTAAATTCGAGGGTGCCCGCCCCCCCCCCCCCCCCCCCGCTCTGCGTTGTTGCGTGCGGCGGCGCAGGTTGCTCCGAGATGCTCATGGCCAACGTGGTGTCGATCGAGGCAGCCAAGACTCCCGGCAAGGAGGCGGTGGCGATGGAGTCGTTTGCCAAAGCTCTTCGCATGGTGAGACCTTCCCCGCTTTCAACATCGTCGTCATCGTCGTCATCACGGTCGCTGCCATCAACCACCATCGCCAATAGATCCCCCACATTGCCCCCAAACAAGAGGCTGTTTGGGAAAATTCCTGTTTGCGAGCAGCACCGATGAAGGCCGGCACAGCACGCGAGGGGGTCGGTGGCCAACACTACACACCCACACAAAGGCCACGATCCCCCGTATAGCCTTAAGAGGGCAAGTGCTGTTAGCGAGCACCTATGAAGGCTAGCACTGCACACGAGGGGGTGCGTGGCCAGCATCACGCCCAGCCGCCTTTGTCTCCCCAGTGGCGATGTTACACGCACCGCACCAGGTACTCATTTGAGGCTGAGTCGACCTAGGGGAGGCCCAGCACCGGTTCATATATTCGTCACTGGGTGTTGGCAGTGAGCGGGAATCGTACTCGGGTCGCCGGGTTCGTAGCGCGACGCGCTAACCGCTCCACGACGGCTCCCCAATGCATACAAACACCCACCAACACAACCGCACGTTAAATTGGACGCAGTCGAGATGACGGGCAGAACAGCTGACGGCCTGAGAAGTGGCACGCGTGGGTTGAAAGCTCCGGCGTTGTGAGTTTGCGCACTGGCGCAACGTTAAAATAGCGAGGTTGTATCACTGGTGTGCGCGCGTGTATTTGTGTTATATAGTGGGGAGCGGTGGTGTAGCAGTTAGCGCGCTGCGCTATGAACCCGGCGACACGGGTTCGATTCCCGCTCACTGCCAACACCAGTGACGATTATCTGAACCGGTCCCGGGCCTCCCCTAGGTCGACTCAGCCTCAAATGAGTACCTGGTGCGGTGTGTAAACATCGCCACTTGGGAGACAAAGGCGGTCGGGCGTGGTGCTGGCCACCCACCCCCTCGTGTACCGTTCCGGCCTTCGTAGGTGCTCGCTAACAGCACTTGCCCCTACAGTCTGTTAAGGCTACACGGGGGGTCTTTGTGTTTATATAAGGTGATGCTTGTTTTGTGTGTGCCGGAGTGTGTGCGTGCGTGTTACAGAGTTTTAACAAATTAAAAATCACGTTGGGTTATAAAAGTGGAAGCCACGTCTCTTAGCTCTGCAGAACAGACGGTTGACCATATTCTTGGTTCTTTCGGTAAAGTCACGTAGAAGGAAAATAATAAAATAAAACGATAACATTCTCACCGAAATAGCTGTGCCTCGGTTCAATATCTGGCACAGTATTGGTTGTCTTTTTGTTCCCATAACAAAGCGTTTTTGCTGACAAGGTCCACAACAGGGGGGCATATTTTATGAATTCGTATCGAAAAGCCACATTACGAAATAAACCTTTTCACGTGCGATTTGTAACATTTTAAAAGCAAAAAAACGCGAGCATAGCGGCGTGCTTCACCGCACACTCGCCCCCCAACGTTCCGTTATAAGCCGTGCGGGGGGGACCTTTGTGTGTGTGTGTGCGTGTGTGCGTGTGTGCAGCTGCCCACGATCATCGCAGACAACGCTGGCTACGACAGCGCCGAGCTGGTGTCCCAGATGCGCGCGGCGCACAGCGAGGGCAAGAAGACGTACGGGCTGAGTAAGTGCACGCCCCACAAACCAAACGCGCCCTTCGCCACCCAGCGGCCGCGGACGGCAACGCACGCGGCGCTTGCGCCAGGCCCGTGTGCGCGGCGCGCTGTCGCGAGGACGCCGTGGCTGGTCGCGTGTGACCCGGCGGGGGGGTGGGGGGGTGGGGGCAAGAGTTGGTGGACCGCCGCACAGATGTCACGAAACTTCTCTTCCTGTCGTTAATCGGCTGGAAACTTCTCCCAAATGAAAACCCAATGCGGCGGCAGGACCCTCCTGACAAAGGGTGCCTACGACTCCTCGCTGTGTGGCTTTCCTGGATGCAAAAGCACACTCTCGTAATTCAACGCCGAGCGGAAGCGCCAGGCTAGGTGCGTCGGCCGTTGACGAATCCGACCGCGTGCGCAGACATGCAGGAGGGAGCGGTCGGGGACATGGTGGCGCTGGGCATCACCGAGTCGTACCTGGTGAAGAGGCAGGTTCTGCTGAGCGCCTCCGAGGCGGCCGAGATGATCCTGCGTGTCGACAACATCCTCAAGGCAGCGCCCAGGTGGGTGGCTCGGAGCAATAATAATCATGATAACAATCGTAGCGATAATCATAATCGTACTACTGTCTGCTGGCTGGGCTCCTTTTCCACCACGGCAAAATAACTCCGCAACAACTGTTGAACGTGCTGGACTCCCAAGGCAGCACCACTGAGATGCTGCTGATAAGATGCACTCCCAGAAAGCCGTGCGGCTGCTGGGATATTCAAATGTTTTTTTCTATACATACAGTAGTCCCTGGGTTAACCGTTTCAATCCGTTGCACGAAAACTACTGTTGTTAACCGAAATAACTTTTAATCGAATTCACTTATAAGTTGAGAAATACGTAATCATCACCAAGTCTCCAAGAGAGCTGCTTTTCCACTGCCAAAACAGAAAACGTAATGTTAACAAAGCCATTCGAGGTCTAAATGCTCACCTGATGACGATTGCTTGTGTTGCAGTCGAAACGTCGTGAGAATTTTTATTGTTTTATATTAATATTATTTTATTATTTCCCTTTTACGTGACTTTACCGAAAGAACCAATAATATGCTCACAAACGGCTGAGGGACATGGCTTAGCCCCACTTACAATTGCTCGGATTGGCCAAAATTGTCTACGTTAGTCCAAACCACGGGGTCCTATGGAAGGCGAAACGTTCACCGAAAAACCGTTAACCGATGTCACCGTTAACCCGAGGGACTGCTGTATATAAAATGTGCTTTTCATGCGGACACAAATTTGGGATTTGAGGCCTCATTCATTTTGTGTTTGTTTTGCAGGAAACGCAAGCAGGACAACATGCCCTGCTGAGCGTGCGTGTGAACCGCCAGGCCTCCCACGCATTTCACGACTGTCTGTGCACAAGTTTCATCGCAGGGACACGGCTTAGCGCATGCGCAAACGCGTTGCCCAACCTCCTGTACGTCCGACGTCCATTGGGAAAGTCCTGTGGCCTGGTAGAGATGTTGTCACTCATTTTCACACGGTCCCTTTCGGCAGATTCACTTGGTCATCATCGTCGTCGTCATCATCAAGGCGTGAAGCTCATGCTAAAAATTACTGTGACCGTAGCAGTAAAAGGGTTACGAGGAAGCGACATGAACGCGGGGGGAGGGTGAGCTTAAGTGAATCTATATCGGAGCACTCGCTAACGCAGCTTGCTTTTGCGTTGTATTCTATAAAACAGTCGGGTAGCAACTAGGGCACTGGGGACTCCACCTCTGGGCAAATTTACGAAGTGAGGCGCAGTGACATCGTGCCTGGGCGGTGGTGCGTTCACCGCTTGTTTTGCCGAGGCTTTGCGGCTGGAGCCCAGGTGCCACCCTGGTTAATACTTGCGGTGTGAATCCTGCTCCGCAACTTCTCTGCATCGCAGTGGACGCCAGAGATCCCCCGTGACGCTATTCCAAAAAGAGTAGGCCATGTCTTGCCAGCGTTGTTGACCAAATTTGAAGAAAACTAAATCTGAAATTACTGTTAAATTTGGAGAGAAAAAGAAACTAATTGCAACATCGCCCTCTACTGGCCAGTGCTGTGTTCACCTTAGATTGCACAGGGACAGCTTCCATCAGTGGTCTCCCCCTAGGCGCATAACAAATGCAAGTCGTAGTACAAGTGCCGGAATGGAAAGCCTGCGCTTGAACTTTAAATTATCTTGTTTTATCATTAACTCGGCTTGAAACTCGCGTCAGCCAGCATTGTAATGCGCAGCCTAGGAACGGACGATACAAGAGAAACATGTTTTATTGGCTTGTCTTCCCTGCAGGATGTTTAAAGTGCTCTGTTTATATTAAAGTACAGTTGTGATTGAAGTCTTAATGTGGCATGAAGCTTGTGCACCCTCAGTTTAAGCTGTGAGTAATTGTCCAAATAGAAATAAAACTTTCCCAGCTCGAACCACTTTGATTGCGTCTGCTTCAGTTAGCGTCTTGGGGTTGCCGGTGTTGGTAGCACGGTGGCAATGGAATGGCTCGTGACGCACAGCAAGGAATATACGCGCGTTCAATTCCTGTCTCGGGCGCCTGTCTCTGTGGAGTTTGTATTCTCTCTCCCCTCCTGTTCTGCATGGAGTTCCTCTGGAATCTCCACTTACCTCTCGTCGCTACGAACAGTACAGATGTCATTGGTGATGACCAAATATCCCGATGTAACGGGACCCTCCTGGTTAGGTATTGGGGCTGTGTGTGGCTTTTCTTGTACAGTGAGCAAATTAGGTTTGTGGTTTATGAATTTGCAGTGTTGGTTCACGACAAAATAGTAATTTGTGATGGAGTGACATTAACACCGGAGCGCATGCGTCGACATTTTAATGAAAAAAAAAAATGGAACGCACAGGGCTTGAGACTTAAAACATTAGACAAAATAAGCGGACAATATCATCTTCATATCTGTTCCGCCGCATCAACACTTGCAAGTGTATTCTTTGGGTCTTTCGCTAAAGTCACGTTGATATAGGTTCAAATAAAATAACAAAAAACTACGACGTATCGATGCTAGTTTTGATGACGACCACTTGTGTTGCGATCGAAACGTAGTTTTTTGTTATTTTCTTTAAGCCTATATCCACGTGACTTTACCGAAAGACCCAAAGAATACGAATTCCTGCAGTCACGAACGCTTTAAGTCAACTTGCAAGTGCTTTTACACATCCGTGTCAACCACAAGGCCACTCCGGGCAGTCGTTGAGCCCGGCAAGCATTGCTCCCACGGGCTGTTGTTGTGGACGAGTTCGAGATCAAGAAGACGACGAGGAGAGTGGACCGCCACCGCAGCACGCCAACTTGTTAAGGAGATCTTCTTGGTTCTTTCGGTAAAGTCACATAGAAGGGAAGAAAATAATAAAAATAAAACATAATCCCTGCAGTCACGAAAGCTTTAAATCGAAATTCTTCAGAAGAGGCCGCCAAGGGGTTGGTGGGTCCACCGGGAGATTTTGTGAGGCTCGCGGTCTCGCTGGCCCGCGGCGTTGTGGCGGCTAGTACAGCAAGTAGGTTCGTGAGTGACCGCGTCTGTGCTGCTGAGCTGCTCGAGTTTCCATCCCCTCGGACACGGCGTTGTGGTGCTTCAGATTCCTTCTAGATTTGAAGCTTTCGTGACTGCAAGGATTCATACTCTTAGGTTTTTTCGGTAAAGTCACGTAGGTAAAAAATAAAAAAAATTTTTTACTAAAAGTAATAATAGAAATAAAATAAAATGTATTATTTAAAATAAAATAATACATTAAATTTATTATTTTATTTCTATTATTGTAGTAATTTTTAATTTTATTTTGGAAATAAAATGTATTTTATTTCTATTATTTTTAGTAATTTTTTTACCTACGTTACTTGAGATTCCTCCCACGGATTTTCAGATGCACCCCACCACCACCACCCCGTGTGTTTTAAAGCGAGACTTGGGGTGCGTCTTATAAATGCGCCAGCGGTGGCTGTGTGAGTGGCCGTATCTGTACAACTTTATTGACATTTGGCACGAGTCTTGGGGGGGGGGAGGTCTTATAATCCGTGGATCTGCATTGCTGCGCGTGGATCTGCATTGCGCAGAAGAGGCAGAACGTTAAAAAAAACGCCGGACATCCAGATATCGAAAGATAGCAAGAAGACATCTTCCAGAAGAGGAATGTTCTTCCAAATATTGAAACCTATTCCAGAATAGGAAGATTTCTTCCAGAAGGGAAATGCATCTTCCGCTTCCAAAAGAGGAATGTATCTTCCATAAAAGGAAGATATCTTCCCGAAAATTATAAAACATTCCAGAAGTGTGGGATGTTCCAGAAAGAAAGGGAACTTATTTTCCGGAAAGGGAGGATATTAACTTCCAGAAAAGGAATATTTTTTTCCGGATCGGGAATATTAGCTTCCAGAAAAGGAATATTTCTTCCGGAAGGAGCGGGTGGTTACTTCTTCAAGAAGCGAAATATATCTTCCAAAAAATGAATATATCTTACTCTTTGGTTCTTTCGGTAAAGTCACGTAGGTATAAAATAAAATACATCACGACGTTTCGGGGGCAAAGTTACACGCGTATATTATCAGAGTGTGTTTTTTGTTTGCATTTTGACCACAAGTATTGTGGTTAATGCACACACATGATTCCTTTTTAAAAGGTTTGAGTTTTGCCAGAAAAAATGGGGGAAACCCCTATTATATTCTTGACTTTACCGAAAAAAACAAGAATACGAATCCCTGCAGTCACGAAAGCTTTAAATCAAAATGAAAACCCTATTTATTAAAGTCGCATACGACTTCCATAAAAGTGAATTTATCTTCCAGAAGAAGAAGACGTAACGTCTTCCGGAAGAGGACCACGCGTCTCTTCCTAAAGCGGAAGACGTCTTCCGGAAGAGGACCATGTGTGTCTTCCTAAAGCGGAAGACGTCTTCCGGAAGAGGACCATGCGTTTCTTCCGGAAGACGTCTTCCGGAAGAGGGCCAATGCGTCTCTTCCTAAAGAGGAAGACATCTTCCGGAAGAGAACTACGCGTCTTCCGAAAACGGAAGACGTCTTCCGGAAGATGCTAGCGGGCATCGTTGCACACTGAAGCAGCAGCATCAGTACCACGAGGCGCGTTGTAGTCGTCGTTGTTGTTACCTTTGTGGTCTCACTTCGCATCGTCCTTTCGTTCGCTCATCCCCCCTCATTGTCAGCCCCCGAGGAGCAGAAGAAGACGAACTCGTGGCTCTGCAATGTCGCTCGTTCGTCAGAATTTCAGCGAGGAGTGCGAGGCGGCCGTCAACCGACAAATCAACCAGGAGCTGTACGCGTCGTACGTGTATCTGTCAATGGTGAGACTCAAGATATTTTGTTTTTAAATATCTACGTTTGAATTAACAACGCAATTGCTTCTCGATGGTGCTTTTTCACTGAAGACGTGTGTTTGTTTGTTTGTGCTTTAGTCACTTTGTTTCGTGACGTGTCGCACTAGCTAACGGGTTTAGTGGGGCCCGTTGCTTCAGTGGTTTGTCGCTGTCTGAGGTAAATCTTTACGGGACGTGTTTATTTTATTTGTTGCAAAAATGTAACGGGTTGTTACGATGAAAGTGGTAAAATATTGGCGTTAAGCAAACGACAAAAACAGAAAATGTTTAAAATGTGTACTGTATATACTGTAACAGTGTTATGCGAGAAGCCAGACATTTTAACGTAAATAAAACCTCTTTTTAAATATTTCCCGGGGATATTTGTAAATATGTTTAAATTAATCGAACATAACGCAACCAACACGTAAAACGATCACGTTTAACCTCGTAAAACTAGCTACATATACCGCAATTACGCAAGATTATCCTTTCCTATAACTTTCCACTCCGGTTTATTTTTATTTTTTCTTTAAAAAAACAACAAAAATAACTTCATGGCTCATTGAATTTCTCCGGAATAAATACATTTTAAAAATTATTCGGTTGTGGAGGTGTGTAAAAAAAACCTCTGATCTGGCAAGACACTTACTCTTTGGTTAAGTCACGTAGGTTTAAATTAAAACAAATCACGACGTTTCGATTGCAACACAAGGAACCATAACCAGGTGGTAAAACCACAGCAAGAAAAAAGTCACGAAAAGCTTCAAATCTAGATTGGCAAGAGGCTACTATACTCTTAGGTTTTTTCGGTAAAGTCACGTAGGTAAAAAATAAAATTAAAATAATAAAAGTAATAATAGAAATAAAATAATAATAAAAATCACGACGTTTCGGAGGCAACACAAGTCTCCGTCATCAGGTGGGACCGTCACAGCTAGATTTGCTGTATCACTTGCTGTATCACTTGATACAGCAAATCTAGCTGTGACGGTCCCACCTGATGACGGAGACTTGTGTTGCCTCCGAAACGTCGTGATTTTTTATTATTTTATTTCTATTATTTTATTTATTTTATTTTTTACCTACGTGACTAAGAGTATGAATCTTTGCAGTCACGAAAGCTTAAAATCTAAAATAATACTCTTAGGTTTTTTTCGGTAAAGTCACGTAGGTAAAAAAATAAATAATAATAAAAATAGAAATATAATAATAATCTAGAATTGGCAAGAGACTCTTTGGGTGTCAATCCAGGCCAACGTGGCCCAGACGTTGCCATCAAAGGGGTAAAAGCGCAGCCCAAGCAATGGCCTTCTGAGAGCCCCTGCTTGCTCACACAAGCTCCCTACACAATCGGCATACTTATTTATACCGCAGACGTTTATTCGGGGCGGGTAAGCACGTTACAACAACAAATAGTACAAGAACATTATCGTAGTGCAAAGTACAAGAAAGGTAAATAAATCGCACAAACACATCCCAATAACACGAAAGAATCCCCCATCCTACCAGACAAAGTCCACTGAGGTATTAACATATCTTTCTATTTTTATTTAAAGCTTTCGTGACTGCAGGGGTTCATATTCTTGGTTCTTTCGGTAAAGTCACGTAGAAGGGAAACAATAAAAAGATAAAAACATATTTTATTAAAAATATAAAAAACATTGTATTATTATTTTCTCTGGTCTTTCTGGTTTCCTCGCATATGCTAAAACAGACATACAATGTAACTGGTATTGGGCAAAACATTTCTTGCTAAAACATTACCTGCAGATTAAGCAATGGGAATCACACACACAGCAACTGCATCGGCCCCCTGCTGCAAAATACTTGGCAGGACTCTACTGAAAGAGAGTCGTTTGACTCGGCAACGCTTTCCTGGGTCATCAGCATATTGGCGCGATGTTAAATACCTCGCCTGATATACAGGAGGTCGTCGGTTCGATCCCAACCCTGACACCTATATATTTGGAGTTTGCGTTTCTCTCTCCATGGTCACGTGGATTTTTCTCCGGGTCCTCCGGTTTTTATCTCATTTAGAAACGCGCGTTTCGAGTGTTTGGCTGCTATAAATGTCCACGTCATAAGTCACTTCGCTGACCTATCAATTGTGGCCAGGTCGCTTCTGAAAAAAAGAGCTATGAAGCTTAGTCACGTAGGTAAAAAATTTAAAGTAATAAAAGTAAAATAAAATAAAAATCACGACGTTTCGGAGGCAACACAAGCTTCCGTCTTCAGGTGGAACCGTCACAGCACGATAGCTGTATCAAGTGAGAGAAATTCCAAGAACACAGTATTTGTATAAATACTGGTTGAGGGTGGGAGGAGCCAAGCTAGGCCCTGAATATTATTTTTGTGAATGGAATGTGTGGGGTGGCTTCTCTCCCTTCTCTCCTCTGCCCCCCACCTCATCATCGTCGTCATCCTGCCCCCTTATGTGGGGTGCGTAGGCCTTCTACTTTGACCGCGATGACGTGGCGCTGAAGCACCTGTCCAAGTTCTTCCGCGAGCAGTCCCTGGAGGAGCGTGGCCACGCCGAGAAGCTCATGGGCTACCAGAACAGACGCGGAGGACGCATCTTCCTGCAGGACGTGCAGGTGGAATCCCCTCCTCTCCCCCCCCCCCCCCCCGCCATCATTGCCGCGGTGGCTAGGAGATGTTAACTACCTCGCCTGGTATACAGGAGGTCGTGAGTCCGATCCCGACCCTGACGCCTGCATATTTGCCGTTTGCATGTTCTCCCCCTGGTTGCGTGGATTTTTCTCCGGGTCCTCTGTTTTTTCCCTCCACATCGATATAAATTTCCACATGATAAGCTACCTCATTGGGCTATCATTTGTGGCCAGGTCGCTTCTGAAAAAGAGCTGTACATACAGCTCAGTGGGCCTTACCTGGGGGATGCGTGCCATTTTTAGATTGATGTTGCCAGGAGGCCAGATTGTACCGAACGCTGAGTAAGCAGGCACGAGAGTTGAGCGTAGCGCAAATGGCGATTACGTATTCTGTGGATTGTAATCCACACACATTTCCCCCCCCTGTATTTAAAAGCAAAATCTGTGCTGTGTGGGTATGTGTGTAACTCTGTGTGTAAGCTGGCACGGGGAGTGGTAGGGTAGCGGAGTTGCACACTGTGAACCTGGCGGCCCGAGTTCAATTCCCGCTCACGGCCAACACCAGTGACGGTTATCTAAGCTGGTCCAGGGGGCCCCTCCCCCAAGTCGACTCAGCCTCAAATGAGTACCTGGTGCGGTGTGCAAGCATCGCCACTGGGGAGACAAAGGCGACCGAGCGTGATGTTGGCCACCCAACACCTCGTGTGTCGTGCCGGCCTTCATCGGTGCTCGCTAACAGCACTTGCCCCAACAGTCTGTTAAAGGCTACATGGGGGATCTTTGTATCTGTGTGTGTAGCTGCACGATCTGTAGCTGTGAATGCATCTCTGTGTATATCTCTGTGTATCTCTTGTGTGGGTCTCTGTGCTGTCACATAAGCCTGATCAGGATGATTGGGTGTCATGCTGTAAGAGATTGGAGCTGTCTCGGTAGCACAGTCACAAATCACTATTTAATTCTATCAAAAATGTAACTTTCAGCGCCACATCAATTACAAACCTTGAGGGAAAGAATGGTGGCCCGATCGTTTGACCCCAGAGGTCGCAATCGGGTACCCAATACCCGTCCCCTACCCGATACCCAACTACCCGTACCCGGTCGGGTACGGGTATGGATACCCGTTTGCGACCCTGGTGCGGCCGGGTACGGGTAAGGAATCAATACCCGATTGCGACCTCTGCTTGACCCCCAGGGACAGATTGCAGGCTTGCTGAGCATTTCTGTGAGTTCTTGAGGAGGGAGGTAAACTGTGCTGGGGCTTGTCGTGCCTAACATATTTGTGGAGGAAGTAGCCACTCTATGCGAGTGGCTGCCTGATGTTGCACCTGTTGAGGAGGTGTGAAGGGCGATCAGGAGCCTGCAACCAGGTAAAGTGGCAGGCAGGGACGACCACTCAAGTGAACCGCTTGAGGGAGGGTGGTGATTGCACAACCGTCTAGTCCACAGGACAGATTTCACAAGATTGGAAGGATGCCCCACACTAATTGAAGCAAGTATTGGGCATCTCCCTTCTCAGTGTGAGTCTGGGACATCGCCTAGCAAGAATAATTATATAATTATAAGGAGAATTATTCAACTACTTGCCCCCTTTCCAGGCATGACGAGGCTTGCGGAGTGCCAATGTGGTTTCAAAACAGCACAAATGCCATATTCTATGTGTGTCTGCTACAGCATCGGTGTAGAGAATTTCAACAGGACCTACAGGCAGTCCCCGACTTACGGAAGACCCGTCTTGCGGAAATCCGACTTTACGGAAACGCTCCCATACATAATGCTAAGAAAACATCTATATGCGTAAATGTTTGCGTTAGTTACGTAAGTGCAAATAGTGCAGCGCGGTTAAGTTGCGGATGAATACCACGGAGCGAGCGTTGAGGCGGGCCGCCTTACGCAAGACGTAGCCTTACGCCGCATTCACCGAGCCGAGCTTCACTAGGGTTAAGGTAAATATAATTGTTTGTAGCGTTACGTAATCATTTTCTTTTTGTAGCATTACGTAATTGTTTTCTGTACAGTATGTACTGTGTGTGTTTGTATGTGTGTGCGCGTGTGTGTACAGGTGTGTGTACAGGTGTGTGTGTATAGGTGTGTGTGTCTTTGTATGCATGTTGGGAGTGGGAGTGTAGTGGTTAGCGCGCTGCGCTATGAACCCGGCGACACGGGTTCGATTCCCGCTCACTGCCAACACCAGTGACGATTATCTGAACCGGTCCCGGGCCTCCCCTAGGTCGACTCAGCCTCAAATGAGTACCTGGTGCAATGTGTAAACATCGCCACTAGGGAGACAAAGGCGGCTGGGCGTGGTGCTGGCCACCCACCCCCCGTGTGCTGTGCCGACCTTCATAGGTGCTCGCTCACAGCACTTGCCCCTACAGTTTGTTCAGGCTATACGGGGGATCTATGTATATGGTAATTGCTGCTCACTCAGAGGAAGAGTTGGAGGCGTTGCTGCTGAACCTGGAGTGTGCCACTAAGAGGTGGAGTCTTACCATCAGCCCCACCAAAACTAAGCATCTGCCTGGGTATTTTGTGCCACCAAACACCCCACCCCTCAGTTCCCCATAGGTGATAGAGCAGTTGTGGAGAGAGTGGAGAGTTTCCCATACCTGGTCTCACTCTGAATCCGTCGGGCGGTATTATATTTTCATCGCCTGAGCAATGCTGTGTGGAAGCTACCCAGTCTGTCGCTCCGCTCGAAACTTCGGGTCTTCTCGGCCATAGTCATACCCTCTCTTCTCTATGTTTCTGAAACGTGGACCCCTCTAATGGCACATCTACGCCAGTTTGAAACATTCAGGCTGGCATACCTACGATCCATCCTGGGTTTAACCAGGATGGATTGTGTGAGGAGCTCACAAATCCTTGAAATATCTGGACACATTCCCATCACTGAGCTCCTCGGGCAGGCAAGGCTGCGTTGGCTGGGTCATGTAGCCTGCATGCCTAACCACCGCATGCCCAAGCAGCTTTTGTTTAGCCGCATAGAGGGGGCTAGATTGGCACAACATGAGCTAGAGAAGAGTAATGGAGTGATGCGGTATGGGAGGATGTGGAGTTGAGTTGACTTGCCTATGACTGGTACCAGCGGTGTCAAGATTGGCCTCTATGGAGGAGGCTCGTTAAGAACGCTATTGGGCAGTTGGAGGCAGCCACCCTCCAGCAACAGTGGAGGGCAGTGGAGCGATGCTCACAACAATGAGCGGAGCACCGGGCGGCTAAAATGCAGCAAGTTGGCACAGTTGGGGGTACAGCTGGTGCATCTACCGGCCATCTCAGTCAGCCAACCCATGGCAGCTGGGTCTGTCCCCTGACCTGTCAGCGAGCCTACGACACTTCACATGGTCTCAAAGTGCATCTGGCCTGGCACAGGCGCCGTGCTGATGTCACCGTCACTCAGTGGCGAATGGCGGGGTATTGGTATGTATGTGTGCGCGTGTGTGTACGCACGTGTGTGTGTTAACGAGCCAACTTCACCTTGGTTTTTGTGAGCATGTATGTACGTGAAGTCTGTGCTTAGCCGAATGCATGGTAAACATTTGGAAGTGACTGCTTTCTGTTAACAACTTATATTAAAATCAGCAATTGGATACTGTATATGTTCCATTAGTTTAATAGTGTTAATGGGTAGTGTTAGGATAGATATTTGTTCAAATGAAAGTATCATAAAAAGTGCAGAGCGTATGTACAGCGATACGATATTGGTACTGAGAGAAACGGTGGGGGAGGAAGAACTGTTTCCGGATGTGGGATGTTATCTTGATTTTGGGGGAAAATTGTTCAGTTTACGACATACGGAAAATTCGGGTTACGGATATATCTCAGGAACCTAACCCGGGGACTGCCTGTATATCTGCGCGTACCTCTGTGTGTATCTGTACATCTCGTGTGTTATCTCTGTGTGCTCGCAGAAGCCGGAGCGGGACGAGTGGGGTAACGCTCTGGAGGCGTTGACGCTGGCGCTGCAGCTGGAGAAGAACGTGAACCAGGCCCTGCTGGAGCTGCACGCCCTCGCCACCGAGCACAACGACCCTCAGGTACTCGCTGAAACCCATACTACACCCCTCGCTCGCTCACTCACTCACTCACTCAAACCCATACTACACCCCTCGCTCGCTCACTCACTCACTCGCTGAAACCCATACTACACCCCTCGCTCGCTCACTCACTCACTCACTCAAACCCATACTACACCCCTCGCTCGCTCACTCACTCACTCGTTGAAACCCATACTACACCCCTCGCTCGCTCACTCACTCACTCGTTGAAACCCATACTACACCCCTCGCTCGCTCACTCACTCACTCACTCAAACCCATACTACACCCCTCGCTCGCTCACTCACTCACTCAAACCCATACTACACCCCTCGCTCGCTCACTCACTCACTCAAACCCATACTACACCCCTCGCTCGCTCACTCACTCACTCGTTGAAACCCATACTACACCCCTCGCTCGCTCACTCACTCACTCAAACCCATACTACACCCCTCGCTCGCTCACTCACTCACTCGTTGAAACCCATACTACACCCCTCGCTCGCTCACTCACTCAAACCCATACACCCCTCGCTCACTCACTCACTCACTCAAACCCATACTACAACCCTCGCTCGCTCACTCACTCAAACCCATGCACCCCTCGCTCACTCACTCACTCAAACCCATACTACACCCCTCTCTCACTCACTCACTCAAACCCATACTACACCCCTCGCTCGCTCGCTCACTCACTCAAACCCATACTACACCCCTCGCTCGCTCACTCACTCAAACCCATACTACACCCCTCGCTCGCTCACTCACTCACTCAAACCCATACTACACCCCTCGCTCGCTCACTCACTCACTCAGACCCATACTACACCCCTCGCTCGCTCACTCACTCACTCAGACCCATACTACACCCCTCGCTCACTCACTCACTCAAACCCATACACCCCTCGCTCACTCACTCACTCACTCAAACCCATACTACACCCCTCGCTCACTCACTCACTCAGACCCATACACCCCTCGCTCACTCACTCACTCACTCAGACCCATACTACACCCCTCGCTCACTCACTCACTCAAACCCATACACCCCTCGCTCACTCACTCACTCACTCAAACCCATACACCCCTCGCTCACTCACTCACTCAAACCCATACACCCCTCGCTCACTCACTCACTCACTCAGACCCATACACCCCTCTCTCGCTCGCTCGCTCACTCAAACCCATACACCCCTCGCTCACTCACTCACTCAAACCCATACACCCCTCGCTCACTCACTCACTCACTCAAACCCATGCACCCCTCTCTCGCTCGCTCACTCACTCAAACCCATACACCCCTCGCTCGCTCGCTCACTCACTCAAACCCATACACCCCTCGCTCGCTCACTCACTCACTCAAACCCATACACCCCTCTCGCTCGCTCACTCACTCAAACCCATACACCCCTCGCTCGCTCGCTCGCCCACTCAAACCCATACACCCCTCTCTCGCTCACTCACTCACTCAAACCCATACACCCCTCGCTCGCTCACTCACTCAAACCCATACACCCCTCTCTCGCTCACTCACTCACTCACTCAAACCCATACACCCCTCTCTCGCTCGCTCACTCACTCAAACCCATACACCCCTCGCTCGCCCACTCGCTCACTCACTGGCTGGCACGCCGTTTCTCTGGATGCCTCCCACCAGCCCCTCCACGCTCCTTCAGAGATCCGCATGGCCACTCATCCTCGGGTCCCCCCTCACTCACACACTGTCTAATGACCCTGGTCTTGTGCAGTACACAGTTGTTTCACTGTCATCAATTATCGGTTATGATCGATCCATTGCTGGATGAAGGCCTCGCCAAATCATCGTCGTCTCGCACAGTCCTGCAAAATTTGATGGGGGCGAGACCCTGATTTTTTTTTGTGAAATGTTTCTCTTCTGGAAGTTGCCACTAGATGGCAGCAACAGCACATACATCATCGCGTGTGTGTGTGTTTTGATCCGAGTGGTAGGGTAGCAGTTAGCTCACTGCACTACGAATCCAGACAACCGAGTTCGATTTCCACTCACAGCCAACATCAGTGACGATTATCTGAACTGGTCATGGGCCTCCCCCTAGGTCGACTCAGCCTCAAATGAGTACCTAATGCGGTGTGCAAACATCGCTACTAGGGAGACAAGGCGGTCGGGAGTGGTGCTGGCCACCCACCCCCTCGTGTGCCATGCCAGCCTTCATAGGTGCTACTCGCTAACAGCACTTGCTCCAACAGTCTGTTAAGGTTATACGGGGGGATCTTTGTCTTCGGTTTTGTGTGGCCCAAAAGTCTTTGTGGCCCGATAAAACAAAACCAGCATTGCCCCTCCTGACAATCTGAGGACCACAGAAAGAGGGCATCATCGTCATATGCCACGTATACACCGTGAAACGTGAAAGGGCGAATCACTGTAAGGCCCGTATTCTTAGCCGCGGCTTCGCCTCAGGCTTGGGCTCCGGCTCAAGTGAGGAGGCTCACTGCCGTGCTTAACTCGCGCCGGGCACTCGAGCATTGCTCCAGCCGTGCTCGGTATGTTTCCACGAGCCGAGCCTGAGCCGAGCCACGGCCGAGCGGCTCGCCCGCCCGCGCGTTCTTCGGAAGCAGCACACCTGAGCTGAGCCGCCTCAGAGGTCGGGCCGGATCCGAGCCGCAACCGAGATCACGGCCCATGCCGTACGTGCCGTGCGCTGACCACCTCATCGATGCGTCCTCCGCTTTCCCCCACACCCCACAGCTGTGCGACTTCCTGGACTCCCACTACCTGGAGGAGCAGGTGGAGTCCATCAAGAACATCGCCGACCACATCACGAGCCTCAAGAAGATGGGCGTGCCTCAGTCGGGCATGGGAGAGTTCCTCTTTGACAAGTTGACCCTGGGCAGCGAATAAATGGGTTGTCAGAGGGGATTAGAGGTAGGCAGCACGGGCAGTATCCTCCGCCCCCCCTTCCTCCCGCTAGCCTCGCTTGGTCAGCAGCTTTTCAAAGGCGCGCCGTTACCGCACGCGTAGAATTGTAGCGTACTTGAATCCCACCGAGCGTGCGGGTAGTTTCCATTAGACGGCAATTGACGCACAGAGCCGTCGACTAGCGATCGCTTTGTTCCGTGTAAGAATAGACCGTGCAAGAATAGACCGTGCGTGTAAGAATAGACTGTGTACGATTTATCCCAATTGCGCATTCATATTGCTTTTATACTAATGGAGCGCAGGAAACAATATACACAAACGAGGCAGAGGCGACGGGAAACGACACGATCGGCGATGAAAACGAACCGAGACAGAATAGCTTCTTGAATGAAGTCGTGACTGTTCGTGGCATCGCCGCGTTGGCGAACCAGCAGCAAGCCTCGTCGATTTCCAGCTATTCCCTGCGGTCCTCTTATTTCATATGGCGTTCGAAAAAAGCAACAGGCTACACTTGTTATTTTCATATTGTCAGGCTGTCGCACGAGTAGATGAGTGGAGCCCGATTTGTTCCACCAGAATTTCGATTTAAAGCTTTCGTGACTGCAGGGATTCATCTTCTTGGTTCTTTCGGTAAAGTCACGTAGAAGGGAAGTAATAAAATAATAAACTAATAAAACATAATAAAATAATTCTCACGACGTTTCGGCCACAACGCAAGCGGCCGTCCTCAGGTGAAGACCAGGTCTGTCGGGGAGACAGCGTCAGACGTAATAAAATAATAAAAATAAAACATAATAAAATAATTCTCGCGACGTTTCGGCCACAACGCAAGCAGCCGTCCTCGCTTGCGTTGTGGCCGAAACGCTGCCAGGCTTGGTGGTGCTCATTCAGACGCTGTCTTTCCGACAGCCCTGTTCTTCACCTGAGGACGGCTGCTTGCGTTGTGGCCGAAACGTCGTGAGAATTGTATTTTATTATGTTTTATTATTATTTTATTATTTCCCTTCTACGTGACTTTACCGAAAGAACCAAGAAGATGAATCCCTGCAGTCACGAAAGCTTTAAATCGAGATTGCACACGCGTAAAAAAAAAATGTGCCTGAAATGTGCGTCCGAAAATTGTGGAAACTGCCCAATTACGATTGTGCGAATCGATTCAATTGGGGGCACAAATGGTGTTTATTTCAAAGGGATACCTGCCTCTAGATAATTTGCTCAAAGTGTTTGACGACCACGAACTAACAACAACACCTCTGCGATGTCTTATAAGGAGCCCTCTTGGCGCCAGGCACTTAGGACACACATGTACTCGTGGCCAGGGACTTGCTCCTTCAGCTGTCACGGGCAGTAGGCGCGCTGTCGTTTCTCTGCGGCACGAATCGGTCTTGAGCCGCGTCAGGACGCACCGATGTGTTAGCGGAACCTTTTTACGCGGGCGGGCACTGACGATCCCACGCGCGCCGCAGCCAACAACCGCCACCGCTAATCGTAGCGACTTGTATTTTCATAGAGCGGCAATTCCCGCTGCGTTGTAGCACGTTGCAATAAATCCCTTAGAAACGTGGTCAGCGTTTATCATACACGTGTTTTGTACGTAGCCATGGCTTTCTTTCTCGCTCTTATTACACTGGTCAACACACTTTTTCTGGCATAAGGTTTTCCAATGGTGATAAGGTAATTTTGGGGTGCTGATTCCAAATCTGGCATCAGTTTTTTGTCTATCACATCAGGTTTTTGAGATATCAAATATTGCATTTTCAATAAAAACTGCAGAAGAAAAATATTAAATAAATGTGGATATCTACATTAAATGATATAAACACACTATCCTAAAAATACAGCACCATATTTTAACACGAAAGCAGTCACTGACTCGCAACAACTTGCAATCATAAGTGACAGAGTTAATTTCGGGTAAAATCAATGAAAATGGGGTTTGCCGATAGCATAAAAATGAGATGTGATGGAGCAAATCTGAGATCAGATTTGGAATCAGCACCCTGAAATGAGTCTAAAACAGCTGCAAAAGTCCAGGCCAGAAAAAATGTTTTTTTTTATTGACCAGTGTTATCGAGAACGCTGCTGGCAGCCTTAACAGACTTGATGCAAGTTCTTAGTTATATCGGCGAGCATCTGTGAAGGATGGCACGGCACGTTGGTGGGTGGCCAGCACAACGCCTGGCCGCCTTTGTCTCACCAGTGCTGATGTGAACATGCAAACTCCACTCGCAAACACACACTGCGTTATAAGACGCACACCCAATATTTGCTTTAACATGGGCAGTGGGGGGGGCAGTGTGTCTTGCAATCCAGAGAATACCCAACACGAGTGGTCCAGCAATCCACTGGCTGCACTTGCAGCAGTGTGCCTGTTGGGTCGGTAGGGGCCGCTCTGAACCAAAAGGTTTTGGGTGATGCAGAGAGAAAGAGCGATGCGCGCTTGCCATTGCACCGAGAGACCGCAAGACAAGAAACAAGCACGGCTCAGAGAGTGTACACAAGTCCACGACTTGTAGTGATTGTAAGGGGGTATGGTGGATTGTCATGGTGGAGGGTGGGTGGATAGCGATGGTAGAGGGTGAGGCGGCTCGTAATGGTAAGGGGTGGGGCGGATGGTGAAGGTGGTGGGTGGGGCAGATGGTGAAGGTGGGGGGTGAGGCGAATGGTGATAGTGGGGGGTGGGCCGCATCGTCATGGTGCGGGGTGAGGAGTACAGTGATGGTACAGGGTGATGCGGATAGTGATTCTGGAGGGTGGGTATGAATAATGGTGGGAGTGGGGCAGATAGTGATGGTAGGGATGGGGTTGACAGTGATGGGGTTTGGGGCGGATGGAGATGGTGGGGGGCAGGGCAGATAGTGATGGTGGGGGTTGGGGCTTACTGTGATAGTGGGGGGTGAGATGGTCGGGCAGGATGAAGGGGACGAAAATCTTCTCTCCGTGGCAGCGATTCTTGCTGATTGAAGGCCTCCTGCAAAAGTCGTTATAACACGAGAGGTTGACTGTCAGGTGGCTTCCTACTTCGTAGACCTGAAGACGATGACGTCGTCGAGATAGATCAAGCAGGAATCCCATTGAAGACCGGCCAGAACCAGTTCATTTACTTGATACAGCTGTCGTGGCTGTGACGGTTCCACCTGAAGACGGAGGCTTGTGTTGCCTCCGAAACGTCGTGATTTTTATTTTATTTTACTTTTATTAATTTTAATGTTTTACCTACGTGACTTTACCGAAAAAACCTAAGAATAAGTTCCATGAATCTCTGGAATGTTGCTGGCGCGGAGTGAATACCCATAGGGAGGTGGTTAAATAGGCTTTGTCTCCCCGACAGACCTGGTCTTCACCTGAGGACGGCTGCTTGCGTTGTGGCCGAAACGTGAGAATTATTTTATTCTGTTTTATTTTTTTATTATTTCCATTCTACGTGACTTTACCGAGAGAACCAAGAAGAGGCCTTGAGGTGTTCGAAACGCGGTTTTGGGTCTGGTGGCAGTTGCCAGGTACCGGAAATGAGATCCAAAGTTAAATTTCGATTTAAAGCTTTCGTGACTGCAGGGATTCATCTTCTTGGTTCTTTCGGTAAAGTCACGTAGAATGTAAATAATAAAATAATAAAAATAAAACACCCCCATCCTAAATTTCGATTTAAAGCTTCTTTCGTGACTGCAGGGATTCATCTGCTTGGTTCTTTCGGTAAAGTCACGTAGAAGGGAAATAATAAAATAATAAAAATATAACAATAAAATAATTCTCACGACGTTTCGGCCACAACGCAAGCAGCCTGGAGAAACAGGTCTGTCGAGAAGACAGAGTCATTCAGACTCTGTCTTCTCGACAGACCTGTTCTCCACCTGAGGACGGCTGCTTGCGTTGTGGCTGAAACGTGAGAATTATTGTATTGTTTTATTTTTATTATTTTATTATTTCCATTCTACGTGACTTTACCGAAAGAACCAAGAGGAAAGATCCAAAGTTGAAAAATACTTAGCGCCGGCCACGGCATCTAGAGAATCATCCATCCTTGGCAGCGGCTACGCATCTGCAACCGTTATTTGATTTAACTTACGAAAGTCAACGCAGAAGCGATGGCTTCCATTGTGCTTCTTAACTAGGACTATTGGCGCACCCCAGGGGCTCTTGGATGGTGAGATGATGTCGGCTGCCAACATGTCATCAACGGCCAGCCGAACATGATCTTTCTCAATGGGACTCAACCTGTACGGATTCTGGCGAATGGGAGTCGCATCCCTTGTGTTAATACGGTGGCTCAAAAGGGAATTTACCTTTGCTAAAAATATCTGTGAATTCCAACAAAAGAGATTGCAATGTATGTGATGTTATTAGAAGCCACGAACAAACACCTCCTCGTGAGAGACCGAACAACGCAGAAGACCCCCTTGGCTCCCATCTCCCATGAAGTTCAAGTTCATGTATTAGGTATAGCCCTGTGAGCCATTCGGCACTTGAATCGGGTGCAACCGTAACAAACAAAAACATGAACAAGAAAACATCTTAAAGTGACTATGTGCAAATAGAAAATCCAAGAAAAGACAGCAAAATATTGCAGAAAAAGCACCGTACACCAACGCTGTGTACAAAAATCCCAGTGGGATGCAAGTCAAACAACAACAACAACCACAAGACAACTTAGATTAAGGCCATCAGTCTAACTCCGTACTACAACAAACAAACATGGCCAAACCAAAAAACGTTACAAAAATCACCAAAAGAAAGCCATAAAAGCAATGAAACAGTGGTCATAGGAAGCATCTGGGACCACAAACACTGAACCGCGTCCCAGGCACAAACCGTGGCAACAGCAGCGGCAGCAGCGATAGCAGCGATGACTCACCACTTCCTACGACTCACGCCGCAATCTCCTGGCTCGTCAACCATCTCGAGATGTGGAATAATTACACGTGCTCGCTCCTATGTCAACATCAGCCATGCTCAGAATTGTTTTCGATTCTCGGAAAGAAGAAGAAAAGAAACCCGCACACAATACCGAGACACCTTCTTTCTGGAGTCTTCATTTAAAACGGCGTGATGCAGTCATCTGATTTTTTTTTTATTGCATAAAACTTGGGACAAATAAGTAAGATTTAAAAATACTTTAAAAAAAAAGCTTTAATGAAATGTACCGTACGAGTAATGACCATGGGTGAAAAAAAACGATTTTTCCAGCGGCAGGCATCGGGTTTTTTCTTTAGTACAATTAAACCCGATTTCGGGGAATTAAAACCTGGTCTAATGAATACGAAACTCTGATCCAAGGCTGAGGCTGCTTCCTCGTCGGTGCTGCTATCGTACTCGGGGGGGCCGTCGGGCACGGGGTAGTCGTAGAATGCGGCGGGCAGGTTGGTCTTGATGAACACGAGCTTCTCCACAATCGTGGGCGCCAGTGAGTTCCTTAGCTTGGAATGGATGAAGCCCATCGGTGAGAATTTGGCGAAGTGCGGTTCTGCAATTAGAACCAATTAAACCGGATTTCTCCCAATCTCAGATCGGGTTTAATATAAGAAGACAATTAAACCCGATTGTAAAAAACCAGACTGTGCCACCCTTGGTAATGACAGAACTCCACGACTCCAGGAAGTGGCCCCGAAGCTTGCCATAACATAAGGGGCCCGTGGTGATTGACAGCCAACGTGAGTTGAGCGTGGACAATTAGACCCAAGCCGAAACATCACATTTCAAAAAGAATGTCGATACGACATTGGGAAGTGGGTTAAAATTGAGTTACAAGATTTGAGGATACGACAACAACAGACGGTGAGTTTATAGAAAGCGTATAAAATAATGTTTAAAAATATATTTTATTTTATGATAGAATATAGTATTATCATCAGTATGACATAAGTATACCAAGTTTGCCGTCGATAGCACATTGGGAAGTGGGTAAAAAATGTAGTGACAAGATTTGAGGACACAACAACAGAGAGTGAGCTAAATAGAAGCGTGTAATAATAACGATAACAAAGACGGTGTTTGTCCCCAAGTAGCTCCGACTGCAGGCGGAGAGACCAATTATCGGCTTGTCCAAGCCACCGCTAGGGCATCATTGAAGTCGCACGTGCCAAAAATGCACTCGCCGACACGAACACAACCACGCGGCACAAGGAAGCGTCGCTTCACAGCAGCCGCATCTGCCTCCGATTTCGCTTCAAGCCACCACCCAACAGAGGAAGAGCGCGGGGCGATGAGCTCATGCCTCCACCCTCGCAGCGTCTACCTCACCCCCCACCCCTTCTCCTCCTCCGGTTATCACCTTAGCGGTAGCGTGACGAGCGTGGGGGCAAGGGTGGCCGTCTTGCCCTCCTCCCCACTCCCAGCCAGACACCCTGGTGGCCACATCTACGAGTTGGAACGCCCTTGACAAGCACCGTGAGATGTGTTTTAGCAAATATTGTGGGCCACACCTGGCCGGTTGAGCTGCACCTTCAGGGTTGGCGACTTTGACTGAAGCTCTTGTGGAAGATGTTTTGTTTAATTTCTTAATTAATTTTCTGAAATGTCCGATGATGAAAATCGCACGGGAGATCGATACCAAGTCCGGTAGAGACTC